TTTTTTTGGTATAAACCAATGTCTGATCCACTTTCCGAAAAAAACATTAAATTCTCTTTCATAAAATTCGTGTCTGGTTAATACGAAAACCTGAAAAAAATTAGACAAATCGGCCAAGCCGCTCCCAATTGATGAATTGCCATAATTTGTTTTACTTAATTTTTATGTAAAATATATATGTACGTAATTAAAACCTCCGTTGGGTATAAAAACTCTAATTATGGCATACTCAAGCCGGCTTTATATTTGTTTTCTTTCAAAAATCATCACGGTGCCGCATGGGCTACCCCTATAAACAAAGTACTTAAAATCGACCCATAAATATAGATTAGAAGCTTTAAAAGTACACTACGTGTCATTTAATGGAACCATTTATAATTTATATAAATAAGAAAAGAGAAGAAGAAACTCGTATAAATAAAATTAAATTATAGATGAAAGTTCTGAGGGAAAATTCAAATTTTTTTTCAAAATTCATTGGAAGTCATTGAGCAGGTGAGCGACTCGCTATTCGTGGAATGTAAAAAACATTTATGAACATTTCAATAACAAAATGTATTGTTCATATTTATATATATATTTATATATATGGCCGAATGGATGACTATCCATTACTTCTGCAATAAATAGCTTTCATGATCAGTAGCCAACGTTCTAAAGGTGCATTTCGCTAGGTGGTGTTAGAAAGATGACATTTTGTGATAAAAAATAATAGTATTCGAGCGCATGTCAAAGAGGGACATCAGCGAGAGAGAAAACACGCTATATCCTACAATTTTTCTACGATGAAGCACCATATCGATTGCCCAAATGCTCTCAAAGCCAGAAAGATTATATTGCGTGGGATATGTCCAAGCTCTTACTTAGAAACTGTATTGTTAGAAATTGCACCGTCAGACCACACACATTGATTGTGACTCGCCAGAATCTCCGTTTCTCACCTTCTATGTGACAGCCATAATGACTCTACCTTCGAAATGCCAAAAAGTTATAGAGCATATTTTGCATATTTTACATAATAACACAACTCTAACCAGAGTACAATTTTATTCAAAAATTATGGATTACTTTTACCAAAACAAATATTTTATTGTATATTTTTTAGTTTGAGGTCCTGTCACCACACAACTGTCGCACAGTCTAAAATAATGGTACGAATGCCTGCTAAAATATATTTTGTATATTTAATACCCACACACTTCCGCAGAATATATTCCAAACAACTGGTCATAAAATGATTCAATCGGTCAGATATGGTCGCAAATATTATTGAATAAATTTCTGTTTATGCGAGCGTTGCGGAGTCAAAACAAAAAGTGGGGCGGCGCAAGAAAGCCAATCGAAGAAACTGTTCTTTTTTTCCAAAATTTAATTCAATGAGATATGTAGTTGCTATGCGGTCTATTTGTAGCGATGAACTTTTTTGATTCGGAACAGCTCCAAAATTTAATCAATATTTTGATAAATTCACACCAAAATGGTTGTGGGTGAGCCGAAATTTTCACGGTTTGTGTAATTATTAAAATCATATTTTTATTTATCAATTTTTAACTCAAACCAAGATCTTTCACATTAAATTCTTCAATTTATTTTCATTTAAATACAAATTTAATGAGACCAATAATTAAAAATATTAATATTTTGAAAAATATCATATTTCTTTAGAAAAAAACACATACAATATTATTCATAAGCGGAAATGTCTAGGGCATATATGTATGTACATACATACATACATTTTTTTTTTTTAAAGAAGATAAGCAAGCAATGTTCTGACGTCAAAAGACATAGTCCAAAACGAATTTGCAAAAAAAACTCTAATTATTAATATAATATAAAATTAGATTTTACAAAAGGCCAAAGCCAAAATTAACTTATTGATAAACTAACGGAGTCGGCAACATGTTGCTGCAGCTTTCCGTATTCTGTCCCGTTTTCATTCAACTGGTATTGCAATGAACGATTAGAAACCCTAATTAAGCTTCAACTAAATCATAATTTTTTTTAATTAAATTAATGATCCACATACTTACATATTTGTATGTGTGTGTCATGAATAAGTATACCCACTTCCCGTATGATGAGAATCTCAAGTAATTCGATCCATAAATACGATGCTTTCCCATTAGACCAGCCTCCACTCCCCAAAAAGTAGAGTAGCATGCCTGTAATCCCACTAAAGATTCCCCTTTCACCGAATTTCCAGTAAATCATATCATAGTTAGGATTTTTTTGAATAGGTCAGTCCTTGGTCTACTTCCCAAATTTTTTCGAACAAAACTTTTTAGGAACTATAGAAATAAAATGAAAAATTGTTCCATGTATTCTTCTGTATGGTTTCACATCATCACAGAAAACAAGCATTAAAACAAACGTGTTTTATACGTACATATGGACGTAGTTTAACGCTTGAAGAATGATCAAGTTTATGAATCTATTTTCCAATTTTAATTTTTCAGTTTAACGTCACAATTTTATTAAGGTCAGTAAGTTCCATGCATTTAGTTAAATAATCATTTCGTCATTTAAAGAAATTGTTAAAATACTGTAGTCAGTATGCATATTCAGACGTCATTCAGTTAATATGAGATAGTAAATATTGAGAAAATATTTGAATATTTTACTTGAAAAAAGCCTTTTCAAAAATCGTCATACCAATAGACTAGTTGACATTTTCAAGTTATTTTCTTAATTATTGGTTTTCGATTCTGGTAGTTAAATAAAAAAAATTTAAACAACAATTGAAGCAATGATAATCATCAAAAATTGCCTTCGACAGCATCGATCAACCTTTGTGAGTGGACGGCATTTCGGAACAAACCCGAAATAATTTACTAGTATCTTATTTGATGATTTGACTATTTACTAATGCGGTTGTTGGTAATTTACACTGATGGTTTCGCCTTCAAAATAGTTCACATAAGAGACTATGTGCTTTTGCAATGCTCCTGCCGATCCCCTTCTCAAATTCGATTTTTTAAATAGTCTTTAGTGCTTTCGGTGATGTGATTTCCACAGCTTAAAAAATCAAATAATATTTTTTCTCGAGAATATTATTGAGAATTTTCTAGTCGATCTGATCGATCTGTTCGGAGATACAGAATGGAGAAGATACAATCCACATACACATATACATACAATGTACATATAATATATAAATAAAAATATAATGGGGTAGCAAAAAGAAATCCATTATTTTCCCAATAGATGGCGTTATTTATCTGCATCTCGCTTTGCATAATTCCGAAAGGGTTCTGTTAGATGGCGTTAGAAAGATGATTTTCGTACTAAATGGGCATTTTTAATAGTTTTGTTGTTGGTTTATTCTGTTTTGTTGGAGCGTGCGTCAAAGATGGACGCTAGCAAAGAGAAGATGTGCTATATTTTACAGTTTTTTTTTTTTTCAAACGTAAACGAGGCGTCTGGAAATGAGAATAGCGTTTATGGTTCTGAAACTGTTACAGTCAATCATGCATGGAGTGGAAGACCAATTGTAGAAAATTTCGATAAAATCATCTACATTGACGAGTCCGGCCGTCATATAAGTACTGTTTCCATTGCTCAAGAGCTAAAGATTGCACAAAAAACTATTTGGAGCCGTTTGAAAAAATAAAAAAATAAAGCATTTAATGTCATGCAAAAATAATGGATTATTTTTACTACACCTAATTTATTGATATTATTTGAGCAAATTTTATTAAAACTTTATTTTTTTTGCAAAAAAAAAAATCGCCAAAACTCCAAAACTCGTGTAATAAATTTTACTGTCAACGCTGGCAAACCTTTTTCGGAATAGTCTACGGTGACTACGTCACAATGACGGAATTATGAAAATTTCTTAAATTCTTTTTCAAATAGATATATATGTACCTTTAAGGCAGTAAATAGTTTTAATAAAAGTTTTATTTTTTATGTAACAAAAAATGTTCTTTTTATTTTAGTTTTTCCCGCAAATCCGGCCGTTTGTTCGAACTGCTTTACGTAAGCGATATTGATTAATTTCAAACTACAAAATTTGCCTAATTTTTGGAATTTTAAAAATTTTTACAGACAAAACATACCAAAATTATCGTTTCATAAACATTTTGGACTACCCTACTGCACTTATTATGGACAAAAAAATAAAATACAGTAAAACATTGAAACAAATTTTTTTCCACATGAAATAACAGTTCACAGCGGATTGCTTTGAGTTACATAACTGACCCACATTCAATTGAACCAATAATAAATACTTTGTTTGTCAAATGTTAAAACCGTTGAAGAACATGCCCTTAATGACATTTAACTTCATTCTTCTTATTGTACAATAGTTCCTGGTGTGCAATGAAATATTTCAATTTTTTTTTTGTTCGTTTGCTTGCTGTTTCTGCTGTTTTTACAATTCTACAGACGACTAACTGTCTGGTAATTAAATGTTATTTAAACTTGCATTTGTATGTATTTATGTTTGTCTTCACATCGCTTACGTAAGTGGAATTTGTTGTTTATTTCACTTAATATGTCTTCAGCTCAGGGTAGTTATCCAATCTTAGTTTTGGATTTTTGCAACATGTGAATTTATGTTGCGTTGTTGTAATCTTAACTTAATTACTGCACAAATAATTTAATTAGAAGCAAAAATACGCCTACATACGATCCCAAGCACAAACGACAAATCCATGAGCGAAAGAGTGTGTGTGTGTGTACTGATGTGAACATCCATATATCTATATATATATATATACATCTTGCATACACATCATTTCCTACTCTGACACTGGAGTTTGTGCTGTCTAATTTAATTGAATTGAATTTAATTGAACGAAATTTCGAAAAAAAAGCTTTGTGGTTGTTTGCCGTCAAATGTCATGTACGTATGTATGTTTTATGTACATATGTATTGTATTTAGTTACTCAAAGGTATGAATAAATCGTCATAAATATTTATATATGTATCGGTGTATAGCCATTTGTTTGTTATTGTAAATATATTTATTTAATTGTAATTATATTTATTGTACATACATACATACAAACAAATAAATATATGAAATCAGTATACTGTGAAAATACCGAAAGTTATTGCATCAATTTAGGCGCATACAAATGGTAAATAATTTCAAATACTTTAAGAGCAATTATGGTTATCAATACCTAAAAATATGATTTGAACATAGCAAAACAGGCAATTAGTGGCAGCAAGACGGAGTTAATTATCGTCGTTGTCGTAGCTGCGGAGCTGCACACCTTCCGAATTGTTTCCGTGTACAAACCGCGGCGGGATAAGAGACCGCGTATGCTGCGTAACTCCTGTAAGCAGTTTCAAAATATATAAAAATAAATAATAAAATATGTGTATATCTATTAGATTTATATGTAATTCTTTATTATTATGAAAATGTGCATTTGTATGTTGTATATATATATATAAAAATTTAACAAACCTCCAAACTCAGTCCCTTTTGCGTTCGACTCAGTACCAACGTGTAAATGGAGCTTGCCATGTCATTGCCACAGAATGTCAAAACCAAATGATCGTTAACAGCCTTCACCACCTGTACAGTGCCAGTGAATTGCTTGTAAGGATTGAGCGCCACCAGAGAGCCACGTTGCTCTGCTATATTCTTCCACAGTCCTGGACTTCTCTCGGTGTAATTGAACATATATTCGAGATTATTATCACTTTCACTCCAAATTAGTCGTAAATATCTTGGTGCACTGCGTTCATTGTATGTATTGTGTAGCTGAATTTGATGTTGTTGCTGTTGTTGTTGTTGTTGCTGATCTTGTGAACGCCGTTGATTGTATTGTTGAGCGTATTGACTGCTGCTGTAGTGATTGCGCATCTGTAAATTTATGAATTATAATATAAGAAAAATATTTAAAAATTCTTAATTAAATTTTCCACTTTTAGTACCTTTTTTACACAAAATTTTAGTCAAAAATTATTTGGATTAAATGAATTCGTTTGCAATATAAAATAAATCAAATAATGAAAAAATAAAAAAAATAAAAATAAAACTAAACTTCAATAAATTAAAATAAAATAAGCTAAAATAATAAGAAAAAATTAAAATGAAGTAAAAAATAAAATAATTTCAAGCAATATTTAACAAAACAAAGAAAGATTAAGGCGAATTTAAAAAACTATTAACAAAGCAAACATAAATGAAATAAAGAAAAATAAATAGAATCTAATTTGTTTTCAATTAATTTAATAAAAATACAATAAAAAAATAATAAAATATCAGGTGTACAACTTTGCTTCCGCCGTTTTCCGATAGGTGGCTCTACCGGCTGAGGCTGGTTGAAATACATAGATGATAATGCCTTTAAAGTGAGTGTGGACAGTGCCTAACGAATTGTCATCGCCGTTTCAGTGACAGTTGTTCTTGTTTTCGTATTATTCACGCTCGAAAATGTCCGTTNTTTTTTTTTTTTTTTTTTTTTTTTTTTTTTTTTTTTTTTTTTTTTTTTTTTTTTTGTTGAACAAAATGACCAAACAGGTAATCATCTCATCTGCTCTCGTTAAGTTTTAAAAATGTTTATTCAAAATAGGCTTTTGTTTACCACAAATAAGTACTTTTGACCACCAATAACAAAACTTAACTTTCGGCTAAAAGCAAATAAATCCAGTTACAGTTATGACGTTATAGAACTTAATCACTCATAAACTAGTGTAACACCCATTCAAACGGAAGATGGGTCATCTTTCATTTAACGGCAAATTAAATTTGCATACGTTATTATTAAGAGCTCACTTAAGAGGTGCGAAATGCTTATATTCAGCTACTTACTTGTTCTGTTATATCGTTGAGATGAATTATTACACAACTCTGATACTCGTATACACCGGGTATATCCTGTGTGTGAACAATAATCTCGTTTCCATACCACAGTCCGGTGATCTGCAAGGAAGAAAGAAATCAAGAAAATCTTAGAGTTCATGTGAAGTATGCTCGGCTACGTTTAAACATGCATACATATGTACGATGTATGAAATCTACACGCACATCTTTGAATGTGTCTTCATATTTACGTTCGTATGTACGACCACTCAATCATCTTACTCACTCACTACATACTCGTAAATATGTTAAATGGTCTCTACGTTAATTGCATTATTAAACTTGTGTAACCTCTTATTGACTTTTATAAGAACGGTTATTTGGGCGCCAAAGAAAATTCAGCGTACATGCGTACTTACTTAACACATACTCGTATGTATGTACGTGCGTGTGGAATATCAGTATTACAATAAGCTAGAAATCTTCGTAGTAGGAAAAGTAGTAGGAACTTTATTATTTTTTTTTGTTAATTTTTAATTTCAAAATACTTTTCTACCCTTATAATTTTTGTGATGGTTTTCAAGTGCTTGCTCTCAAAATAATTTCGTTAATAGGAAGTAGAATATTGGAAATTTTTCACTAGTAATACTTTATTTCATACTTTCTCAACAAAGAAGCGCGTTTTGATTCACAACTAAATTAGTCCTATCTTTTCAAATTTTTAACTAGTAACATACTGGTATATTTCCGACCGCAAAGCGACGATTGTGGGATTCTTCTATCTCGTAAATAACCAATTGCTTAAATGAAAAAGATAAAAAAAATGCCGTACAAGTTAGGCCTACTTAGATTGCTAGTTTCTCAGCAGATTGTAAATAGTTTATGATATTAATATCATGGTCGTCTACAACCTGCTTTTTCAAGACTGAAAAGGGCGGCGAAAAGTAAGGGTCTGGTAGTTAACGAAATTTCTCATGTCATCAAAGAAATAGCCGGCGCACTTTCGGCTTGACTGCCACGTTAGTGTTGACAGTACCAGTATTAACACCAACAACAATGTCCGCCTGGCAATCCAAAGCAGAATCACTCTTGCCGACAGTTGCCCCCTTGAATTGAGTAGACAATTGAAAAGTGAACTCCTCTCTCAACGAATGGAAAGCAAATCCTACAAGTCTCTCATCGTTCCCGTCCTGCTATATGGCGCGGAAGCATGGACGATGACAACATTGGATGAGTCGACGTTAGGAGTTTCGAGAGAAAGGTTTACGTAAGGCAATGAACTGGCGCTTTCTAACCACTGAAGCGATTTTCGACCCAAAGCTCCTCCTCCAATTTATGGTTTGGGTTTTATTATTACACTTTATTCTAAGCCGCATCCAAATGACCGAGCATTTTTTATGAGGAGGCTTTTATTTCGTGTCAGCGGGACGTCCACAACTAAAAAATTAATTTCCTATAGTTTTTTATGTTAGTTGGACTAAAACCCGAACCCCGGCCTTCAATGTGGCCATATTGGCATAGTTCAGCGAATAAGGAGGCAACGGCTCCGCTGATTAGATCCTGACCTCTACTCCGTTGGAAAAAAACAGGTGGAGAAGGACCTGGCGGTGCTTGGTATTTCCAATTGGCGTTAAACAGCGACAAAAAAGCATAATTTAGATTTATTAAAATTATATTTGATCAATACAAAGCTAAATTTATTCATGGTTTTTAATAAATCCCCCAACTTATCTCTTACAACACACATTTCGCGGAATTCAAATTATGCAATAAATAATATAATCTTTTAATTCCTCCTAAATAGATTTTACTCATATTTAAATTGGAAACGAAGCAAGAAACGTCATATTCGACTATGCCGAGAGCTTTATTGAAAAGGAGTAATATTTATGTATTTGCGCTTCAGAGATTTTCGATTCTATTTATGTTTAGTATCTGTCCTCATGGTTATCCTACAAATAAAGGTTCCTACAGTATTGAGTCTCCTATTGACGTAGCATTGAAGATGATTTCACAGTAAGTCTCATCTCTGATTGATCAGTGCTCATCTCTGAGTAATAATTTTCAGAGTTAACAGTGTTTGACATGTATCTGAAGAATTTATTGGATGTAATTTTTGAGTTATTTTCAGCCAATTAAGATGATTTTTAATTCGTTCTAAAACAGAGAGTGCACCCTGCATTCAAACAGTAAACCGAGAATTATAAAGAACAAGTAAGAACCGCTCCTCATTCGGAATGTCAATCAATGATCAACAGACATTTGGTTTTACGTTTCTGTAATACTAAATATTTCAAGGTCATAATTCAAAATCAAATCTCGTCACGCAATATCGTCACTAATATTGTTCAACTTATATAATAATATTTTGCTCTTCATGATATTAATAGCCAAAACGTGCTTCGAGAGAACTTTATACAGGGTTGGTCATATTGAAAAACAACACTTTTTTTATGTCCAATGGAAAAGTTAATTTGATCAATTTGATTATATCACTTTTCGCAGATGATTCGCGCACGATATTTTCAATAGATCGTCTCGGTCACCCTTTATTTGGACACCTGGGATGAGCGACAGTACCAGCAATCGGAAATCTTTCTAGCAAAGGCTTTGTTATGTTATTTGACGGCGCACTTTTCACTTTATTACCCTGTATATCTTATATATATATGTATATGGCGGCCGCGTGGTGGTTAGCACTGCGAACTACAATTCGGAAGGCTCTGGTTCTAGTCCTGGTGTCGTACTAACATCCAAAGAGTTATAGATAATTTATTTAAATATAAAATTAAGTAAATTTTCTAACTGCGGTCGCCCCTCGGCAGGGAACGTCCACCCCTCCGCGTGTACTACTGACATGAAATAAAGCTCCTCATAAAAAACCGTCAGCCGTTCACTGGTGGCTTAGTTTAAGCTGTAGGTCCCTTCTTCTAGCTCCTCCTTGAATTTGTGAAGGGACCTGATGGATATTCATTACGTGCTTTGTACTTCCTACCAGATATACCTCTGGAGGGGTTAACACTCCCTGCCGAGGGATCACTGAAAACTATGGCTTTACGAAAATCCTTCGGTATTTCGGCGAATGGTGATTTCGATGTCGAAGACAAACAAGGTTATGATTTGTATTTGGTGCGATCAGCTCGATGTGATTTACTACGAGCTCCTAAAACCGGGTGAAACCATCCCAGGAGATCGCTACCGAAAGCAACTGATGCACCTTAGTCGCGCGCTAAAAGAAAAGCGGCCACAATATCAAGAGCGACATGACAAAGTCATCCTCCAACAGGACAATACTCGGCCTCGCGTCGCAAAATTGGTCAAAAAGTACCTGGAAACGCTGAAATGGGAAGTCTTCCCCCACCCGCCGTATTCCCGTTCGATTGCACACGGCCTGGCAGATCAACATTTTCAATCCTTCGAAGAATTGGAAAAATGGATTTCTTCATGGATAGCGTCAAAAGAGGACTCCTTTTTTCGAGCCGGGATCCGAAAATTGCCGAAAAGATGAGAGAAAGTTGTCGCTAGCGAAGGGCAATACCTTGAATAATATATCTGTAAGCACTTTTCCGCAATAAAGTTTTTAATTTGGGAAAAAAAACGGCGGAAGCAAAGTTGTACACCTGAATGCCTTTATAACGAAAAAAAACCTTCTCTATATGATTCACTGTTATTTACATTTTTTTTTTTCAAATTTCAAATTTTAAATTTTAAATACACTATCTGTGCTTTATAAGTAAAAAAATTCTTGTTTTGATTAAACTAGTTTTTATTTTATTTTTTTGCTTGCAGAAACAGCAAAAAAATCGCTTCGCTATTGATAAACCGTTTGAGATTTCACGCAAGCACATATGCATATATACACAAGTATGTACATATAACCTGTATGGAACATATGTATACGTTATGAATAAACAAATTAGATTTTAATAAGTAAAAGCTCACTCTATTTAATTCGAAGAATCTCTTTTATAATCTTTTTTTTTATATTAATTAAAACAAGTTTTTATTCATTTGGAAACTATTCAAAACTAATAATGCTGTTTATGTACGAGTAAGTAAATATATTGCTATTGTTTGACTACAATTGACGCACTTGTTCAATATCCACAGAATGTTGCGGCTTTATATCCATACAGATTAATGAGTTTGTATAAAAATTTCGATCGGTGGTCGTTGGCATGTCATCATAGCTGGGGTATTGATTTATGGCAAAACAGCAAAAGGTGCAAAACTGTTGAAAAAACAATAAGCGTAGAAACGGCGTCAAATGCATTTTGAAATTTTTCTTAATTTTAAACAAAAAATTTTAATCTTTAGAAAAAATATGTTTTGAACACTTAAAAAAACACGCTTATATTTTTATGCAAACACCCGACGCGCGCGCACACACAACGTTAAAGCTCGCTGCACAGTAGACAACTGTAGCGGGCGGCTGAACAATTCGAGCAGATCAGGAGCGATAAGCGATTTTTTCTCCAGTAACACTCAGCATTGCTACTACAACAAATAAATTATTGCTAGAAGCGTTCTTCTTGATTTTTACTAGCCTATTGACATTAATAAAGAGGATGGGAGCTACTGTTATTCCAATAACACAACCAACATATGTACGTACGTGTATACATGCATGTACTAGTGCAAGCCTACGTACGATGATCTCGCATCTGGAAAGCATGGATCAATTTAAACGCACATTCCGCATACACGTACATACGCACAGTGAAGATCAAACTTTTACAAGCATGTGTGCGTGTACAACATAGGAATACACTTTACTGTGGGTGTGCTTGTATTGAGTGGGTCGCAATGTTATGGAAATTGCATGCGTACATATGTATGCCCTCATATATGTATATACAAGCATATACATATACAAGTATACATTGTTGTAAATTGGCAGCGCTGCAAATGTTGAGTGAAGAGAGCATACTATTCGAACGCCTCCGCCGAATTGAAATTATCAATTAATGACTCGAGATCGCCAAAGGGGCTGGCGTTTGCCCTTTATACCGCCATAAATGGTTTTGACCACCTATATGTATATGTGTATATAGTATGAGTTCGACAATTGAGAATGGTCCAATTTGTTAAATATTTTTGTGTGAATCATGCTGAGGCAACGGTTGCTGGCGACTTTATACCCAATGTATGGGTGAAAGGTATTTTTTGTTTGCAAACATGTGTTCATTCTACATTGGATCCAGAAGGTATTTCACTCTCTTTCAGCCGCCAATGAGGACATGGCGATCCCAGAGGGTTTGTTGAGCTCAGGGGATTTACTGAGCTAGACCGCCAAAAAATAAAAATATTTTTTATTTATTTTCCCAAAATTTTATATTACCTGAAAAAGTCTAAATTCTTGCAAATACACTGGAGCAATTAACACAACAGTAACATCAAAAAACATGTCTTCCAAAAACATACTCTCTTAACATTGGGCCCTTCGATACAGGAGACAGTTTAAGGATGAACAAAATTGTATATTTTCGTCGAAATTATCTGACGGCTGGCCTAGAGACAACGTCTGTTTTGGTAAGGATAAATCAGATGAGAGCATGCAATAAAGTCGTTAGTAGTCGACGTTTTCTAAAGGAATGATAGAACCTACAGTTCTTTTATATACCACCTCTTGTTGTACGTTTATGCTGAACCACACTCAGAGGAGTTTTGATCCGATTCCAAAGGACGTGGAAATTAGAAAAAAGATCTGTTGCTAATAAACTTCAGGTTGGATTAGATTAAACTGTTTAACCTATCGAGTTTCCCATAGAGACATTACTATGTTCATAGTGTTGCCAGATACGCTGCATTCGTCCAGACTGTACTGCTACACTCTTTACTTTGTGTCTGTTATGAAGAACATTGCTGTTGTTTTCTTCTTGTGCCAGCTTCACTTCTCTGATTAAAACTAGTTCTTCCATACTTACGTCTTATACGGTATCTCATTCCCTTTGATGCTCATATGATCTGAAAGGTCCAGTAGTTGTATTTCCCTCTTTTTTCAGGCAGTCTTTTTATCAGCTCCTTACATAGTGCTGTTCGAAAGTTAGGCTTCATGAACGCTTGGATATCCATATAAATGTGTACTCTCTTCTTTTGAAGGCCTGCACGCTGCAGTAGCTCCACCGCCCTTTTTATTGCAAATATTTTGGATTGAAAAATACTGCAATGTTGTCTACGTTTATTCCAGGCATTCGTCTCAAGTGTAGCAGACAACAGCTTCCCGATTTTAATTTTCTCCAAAATCAATACTTCGCATTCGGGTTTGGGAAAAGTTTCAAAGGCAGAAGAAGCGACATACTCAGAAAAACAAAAAAATGGAGAATAAAAGAAGGCAAAAAACTTCAGGTATGAAAAAAGCTAATAAAATTATCCCAGGCCCCACTTATTTTAACCAGCTTTTTCTGGACTTCTTGCTTCTCTCCATTAAATTACCAGATCTTTCATTGGCAGCCGCTCGTCATCTTTACTTTCAGTTTTCATAGGCTACGTTAGGTAACGCCCAGACTATCCACCTTACATGGACCCGCTGATCGTTTGTAGTGCCAGATTTAGGTTCAGTTTAATTCAAGTTTAAGGAGTCGTTATGTGCGAGTGACATCAATGCTTTTGTGGAAATTTACGAGAGCCTTGAAGTATCATTTCGGCTCTTCCCTTAGTCGTTTGAATTGCGAAGCTCTTAGATGTTCTAGATAAGGTCGAACGGAAAAGGTGTTCCAGCAACTCACTCCTCCCTCGCTACATTTCCTACATTTGTCGCTGACTTAGGTATTCCCTTTGCTGGTTCGGTAGCCTTGTGGCCTGGAACCCAGTATACACGTCACTTTATCTACTGCCTCCCTGCTTCTAAGCGTCACAACGACGAAATACGATCGAGATTTTTGCCTTAATTGACGCTAGGCTAGACTATAAGAGTAAATATTGCTATTTTTTTATGAAGCTTCAGCAGATTTCCTACCACGAGGATTCCGCATGGAAAATGTTGAAGTACTCCGGAAGCTTGAAAGGTGACCCCGGCGCCCACACCATACACCATTCGTGAAGATGTTGCAAATTCCAAGCCATACAGAGTGCAGTGAGCCGCTGTTGGCGCTTAACTTTTTTTTACAAATTCAAATTGCAACTATAATTTTACTTTACTCTCCCTTTATTTTATCTAGATCTCTTGAAAATTTCAGTATTGCTAAACTAATAAGTATATAACAGTATCAAAAAACAAATATAATAAAAAACCGGTAAAATCTAATTTCTCCTTATTATGAGCCCTTTTGCATTGAAAACTTTATTTTCTCTAGAATCCAATCCACATATTTCTCAACGCGCACATAAACGCCAGGCTTGTTCGCATAGCCGCAATGTTGACCCCAAGAAATTATGCCGTACAAAGTTTCGCCATCTGAAAAGTTTAAAATTTTATATGGAACCAAAAACTTTTTATTTCTTATATACGACACATACCATCGTCATGGCAAATGAGTGGACCACCAGAGTCGCCATCGCAGGCATCGACGCTCTCATCCATATAGCCAGCGCAGAACATACCCTCCGTCATGGAGCCGCCATAGACATGTTTTTGTCTGCAAACTTCATCGGACAAAATTGGCAGCTCAGCAGCGCGTAGAATATTGGAGGGCGCTAAAAATATTTAAAAAAAAAAGCGTGAAGAATATATTTTTGCTAATTCAAGGGAGTAAAAAAACATACTCGAAACACCGGATTTTATAGAACCCCAACCAGATATTGTGCACATGCGGTTCTCTGCCAATGCAGCGCCCTTGTTCGGCAAGCAGACCGGTTGTATGTAGTCATTAAATTTCACCGGCGTCTTCAGCACAACCACTGCAATATCATTGTTCATGTGTGTGGCATCGCGGAACTTCTCATGTACATACCAATTCTCAATGAACGAGTCGACTTCCGACGATTCCGCTATATTCGCATAGTGATCACCCATGCGTACGAGGTAGGCGCCTTTTGGATAACCGGCGAGGCAGTGAGCCGCAGTTAGTAGATGTCGTGACGAGATTAGCACAGCGCCACACCAATGACTCGATATGCCGCCCCTGCCGCGCGTGCGTATAGTCGCCTGCCAAGGATGGTGCCCCCGCTTTGCTACACTGCCATTCACAACGCGCTCCTCCGGATGTGCGTATTCGTCGATTAGGATATCTTTGAATTGCCCGCAACGTCTATGTTCACCCACCGCTTTACTCTTTCGTTCCCATTGTTCGGAGAATAGCCCTATATCTTCTAACTGTTGCTGTGTTTCGTCCAACTCTTGCTGAGTACTTTCATCAGACTGTTGCGTTGCGGTTACTTTACGTGGTAAAGCGCCCACCGTGCACTTCAAGCCAACATCCTCGGTGTGATTGCAATTGTGTTCGCCCCAAGTCCAGTGATTGCATTGGTCGAGTGTGGTTTCATTGCCAAAACACGACACCTGGTCCAACCAAATGGGACCGCTGCCAGGTCCATAAGTATTCTTAGCTAAGGTCTGTTGTAAAAGAAAATAAAGATTAAATACCCCGTTTATAACAAGATAGATGAAGCCACTCACTGGTGTGCCGTAAAATCCCATTGAGTTGCACATAACTTGAGCCTCCTTTATGCCGAAATCATCGTCGCACACCGAGCCCCACTCACCGCGATATCTGACTTCAAGACGTCCTTCGCTCGGACTGCGTCCACCTTGTAGACGGTATTTAATGGGTGACTACAAGGAGGAAATCATTAAATATCTGTTGCAAATAACTATTCTTCTTTTATTCGTCTCACATTGCAAACACTTTCACTTTCGTCCGATTTATCCGCACAATCAGGAGTATTGTCGCACACGAACGCCGGTGGTATGCACTCTTGGGAGGTGCTGCATAGCCAATAGTTGTTGGGACACCTGAGTTGAGGTACTTTACAAACTACACCAACCACTTCGTCTGGTCCACAATTACTCACACCCCAACCCTTGAAGTCGCATTCCCTTAAGGATGTTTCATTGCCACGGCATTCAACTTCATCCATAGCAAAGGATACATCCGCAGTCGTGGGCGGATAATATGAAAAACCGCGCACTTCGCTAGCACCCAAATTGAAGCCCAATTCCCGGCAAACCACCTCAGCATCGCGTAGGCCGAATTTGTCATCGCACACATAGCCCCATTTTCCAAGAACTGCAAAAATTTGAATTTAAATTAAAAACATTACATTCTTAATTCTACAAATTTCAGCACTACATTGAAAGTTTCATCAATAAAATTTCACCCTCAATTCCTAGGTTCGTGATATTAGAGCAAAAGTGTAACCAAAACGTATTTCATTATGGGTTAGAGGTCTACTGCAAGCCTCTATTAGAACTGCCACTCTGAGAGATAGGTTAAATATTGTATCAGCTTAATCAAGAATAGGGATTGGTGCATATTCTTGTCACTTTCTTTTAGAATTCTAGAACTGTGAGCTAATTTTTTTTACCTTCTAGCAAAAGAATTGGATCTAAATTGTATTGGACCAAATTTCAAAAACTCTGAAGAAACTTATTAGTCTATGTATCATTCTTAAGGCAAATAATAATCACATACGATATGCAGTAGTAATCTGTAATATCATATGATGTCGAGTTTTCCTAATGCGGTAGACGTGTGGTTAGCATTGCGTACTGACATTCGAAAGGCTCGGGTTCAAATCTCCGTGCAACCAACATCCAAAAGTTATAGAAAAATAATTTCCCTCGACAGGGAATGTTCACCCCTCCGAGTGTATTTCGGACATGAAATAAAGCTCCTCATAAAAAAACTATCAGCCATCCGGGGGCGGCTTAGTATAAACTGTAGGTCCCTCCATTTGTTGGAAAAACAACAAGACAAAAACCACAAATTGGAGGAGGAGCTCGACCGAAAAATCGCTTCAGCGGTTACAAAGCGCCAATTACAATGACGACATTAACCAACACTTTGTCCGAACTCATCAAAATAGTTGCTTTCGTCCATCGCCTAAGTAATGTATATACTTACTCTTAACTTCAACACGACCCATATTAGGGTTATCACCGCCAGTAAGACGCACTTCGTATCCCAAATGCTTGCACTCATCTTCGTCCTTACGATTGCCGCAGTTGTTAATACCGTTGCACACCTAAAAGAGTTAAGAAAATCATAATTTAGCCTTCATTTTTAATTAGTATATTATCCTTCTTAAATTCACCTCGTGCGATCGCACACATTTGCCATTACCACAATCAAAGGGGCAATCTACATTTCCAACTCTCAAATCGATTTGAGGTGGTCTCACACTGAATGGCGTGGTCGATTCTGCGTATGGATTCAGTAGATTCGTATTACTCAAATCATAATTGGTCTTGGTCGTTGGTGCTTCGGGGTTTTCAAATGGATTTGGTAATTCGGGATGGCGCTGATGATATGCTCTATTGTGCTTGTGCCGATGATGTGTATGAGGGCTCGGGCGTTCGTCCTCATTAAAGGGATTGAGTAAATTGGGATGGTTGCGATGGAATTCTCGGCTATGACCGTGATTGTGCCAATTGGTATTCGGCTTTGATTCTTGTTTTGTATTTTTCGAATAGAATTCTGTACGTGTCTCGTGTGTAGTGTTCTGGATGGGGATTGTGGTCAAACTGTGTTGTTCACCTGCAAGTATAAGTTCAACCTCCTTTTCATTTTCAGCACCATCTTTGGGCACTCTGCTAGAACTACTTGGTAATGTTGTTGATTCGGCTGTATGTGTGGGTAGATGGGGTGAGAGTTTCATTATATGAGATTCAGCCTGTTCGGCGTTTTCATCGGAAATCGTGCCACTACGATTGAAGTAGGGACGTAAGAGCAAACGCAAAGCATCGGCCATTAATACATTTTCTGGAGTTTGTACATCTCCAGTATCAATAGATTTTGGACGATGTGCGTGAGCTACATTTGAATAAGAACCACTGTAGTGGGGATCTTTAGAAAATGTGGCTACAGTGGTATTCTCAAGCAAATTATGTACTGGTCTCAAACGTGTTGAGGCTGCAGGCGTGGGTAAAGCCGGTGGCTGAAGATAAGTTGCAGGTGTGGTCATTGAAATGTCAGTTGTGTAGGCATTTATGTTGGAAGGTGGTGAAAGTAGATGTGGTCTGCCTTGAGCATTCGTGCTGAAAGCTCTAATGGGTTCAACTTCATCAATAGATCGACCAGTAGGCCGTCCCTTTATTGCATTTGGTAATACAAAACTGTTATCGGGTGGCGAAATAGAGTTAAAAGGTCTCGGTGAAGTCGTAGGCGGTGGTGGTGGTTGTAAGCCACCGAATAAATTAGAAGCGTCAAAATTGGGCTGACTTGGGACTGTGGGAGTGATCACTGGATAGTTACTTGTATGTGTGGGCCTGGGTGGTGGAGTTATGTATGCAGCAGGCGTAAAGATATTTTGTGACGGAAAGTCATTCCTATCGCCATGGGGTTCATCAGTACGTTTTGGTGGCAAAAGCACTTGATTCGGTATGGGAACCCAATTGCTTGAAGGAGACTGCACATAATCTTTTTCATTTGGATTATTAAATGGCAAACTGTTTGGTGGTTGTGGCATAACTTTGCCGTCGTCAAAAACTTCTTCAGTGTTTTCTTCTGAGCCCACGGGTTGTGCGTAATAAACGTGTTTAGTCTCGTTTGTCAAAGCCGAGCCAGGGTTGAAGGGAGCTAAGGGTGTGGTGTATGTGCTGAAAGTATTATAATTACGATTTGGTTGCAGTGAGCCCTCCTCGTAGATGATGCTTTGCGTTGGGGTTTGCCGATCAATTGCTGAGCCCGTACCAACCCAACTGTTAGCGCCACGGTTCGGTAGCAGCTCCTTGCCGTAGTTGGGTAGGCGTTGTTGTCGTTCATAGTCTGGATTATATCTGCCATCGTAAGTTTGCTCGCTTGGTATCGGACGCTGCATATCCATGTTGGACCAGCGATCGCCATATTTCGGTGTTCGCGTAGACGTTGTTGGCAAGTTATCGCCATAGTTTTGTCGACCATGACTTGGTCTATGCTGTGTGGAGCTTCCATAGCTTTGTTGCTCTCCACGATAATTCCAATTGTTTTGTAGTTGATCACCGTAATTAGTCTGTGGTAATGGTGGCGATTGGTAATTCGTGTTAGGGTTATGTTCATGACCACCTTGAGCTGGAATATGAAAATATTAAGGAAGAGTTTAGTTGCAAGAAGAAAAAATTTGGTTAATATATATTATTAAAAAAAAAACTTAATTTTGAGAATATTTTCGTAAATTATTTCGCTTGCGTTTCGAACTTCAAAATAATTTTAAAGAAATTGGATAAAATTAAAATACTATATATCAGACAACCCCGTCTTTTTCCCTTCACAACAACACAATGTGAATTCATTTTGTAACCTGTAGGTGCATTCGGGTTACGTCCGCTATTCTTCGAACAGTCAACATTCTTTATAAAATCGCAAACTTCCAGTTTTGCATTCCATGCGGTGCCAGGGCCACAGTCTTGTACATTAGTTATGCCATTGTTGCAGTTAAGAAACTTTGTGCAATCCAAGGGATGAGAAAACATGCCCGAAGCGCCCTCAGGGCATGCTACAGATTCGCTCTGAACATCTACGAAAGTGTTTGAATAAAAATTTATTAGATATAAAACCTTTGTTTCTCTCTTTCTCTTTCACCACACAAACCTCCGTCAAAACCTGCAGCCTCATTATTGTAACCCGCAACACGTCCAGTGCAGTCAACTTTGTCTATAAAATCGCATACTTCAAGCGCGATATTGAAAGCCGTACCCGGTCCACAATCCATTATATGCGTTATACCATTCGCACATCTCAAGAATTTGGTGCAATCTGATGGGTGTGGGTAAAGTCCAGTTGCGCTTGATGGGCACTCAGGGTTATACTGCGGTGAAGGTACAAAGCTTTGAGTGGGCGTAGCGACTTCCGCAGTGTCCACAAGACTCCATTCACGATTGTGATTGTAAGCACCGTAGCTATCACTAACACGCTGCTCGCCTGTGTTTAACCACACACGATCACTGCTGCCAACTCCACTCGTGGGTATACAAATTTTATTGGTAATGCTAAAGAATGTGTTGGGCTCACAGCTCTCTATCATGGTGTGGCCAGCATGACATTTTATAAACAGTAAGCCATCGAAGGGATAAATGAAGTAGCCCATTGCAAGCGCCGGACAGACGACGAAGTCATAGTGCACATCTGAAAAACGGAGAAGCTGTCATGCACTGAACTTCATTACTCTTTTCCCCGTTACTCACTAATATCGGTTGTGCTATACTCTTGCATACAGACGGCATGATCATTAGCATTGACTTTATCTTCGGCAAGACACATTTGCCGCGAAATACTGAAGACACTACCCGGTGGACAAGCTTGTACCTGCGTCTCGCCGCCATTCTTACACTCAATGTATTGATAGCCATTGAAAGGATGTAAATAGAAGCCCTCCACGTTGGCTGGACATGCCACTTTCTGATCGACGTGGATGCCGGATGATGTTGTGCGTGAGCCTATGCGCCCACTGCAGTTTACATTCTTACCAAAGTCACAAACTTCCATCTCCACACTCCATGCGGTACCGGGTCCACATTCTTTGATGTGAGTTACGCCATTGTCACACTGCAGAAACTTATGGCAGTCATAAGGGTGAGGATGCATGCCTGCGGAGTTTGGTGGGCATTCCACATTCGTTCGGTGACTCACAGTCGAGGCTGTGAGTTGATTAACATTGAGTAATTACGCTGAACCTCAAAAAACATATCCAACTTACATTTTCCGCCACTAAAAGTAACTGTAGCTGCCCCATCCTCGTCAGTACCACCCAGCACGTTGTACCCATTTCCTGCTTCGCTATCATATTCTTGTACTCGTGACTCATAGTCACAATACTTTCTGATTTTACTAAATATCATTCCTGGTATGCAATGCTCGATGGTTGCCTGACCTCCAACGCATTTTATATACTTTGTACTATCAGTGGGATGTGGGTAAAGGCTGTTAGCTCCCGCCGCACAATTTGGCTCATATGCGTGATCTATGGAGACCAAACTTTGCTATAATCATAGCAGATCAGATTAATGGAAATGACCGAACTCACTTGTGCTCGGTTCCAACTCGGTTGAGAACTCATGCGAAACCTCGCTTTCATATTCCACGCGATCATAAGCGTCTACTTGGTTACGATTTACACATTCCCTCCTTGATATACTGAATACTTTGCCGGAGTTGCAGCTCTCTACTTCGCCTTGCCCATCGCGGCAATACAAGTATTTGGTACAATCGAAGGGATGTAGGAAAAAGGCGTTCACGTGTGGTGGGCAAATTAGTTGTATGCTTCCTTCATTGCTTGTGGCTGCTGGCGAAAAGAGTTTTAACATATTGGCGTACTTTGAATCATACTCCACGTATCTGTGTTTGCACGTAGATTTCTACATCTCTTTCAGCACTTTCTTACAGCGTTATTCCCTAGTCTTGTCTTATAAGTGGAAGCCTTAGCTTAGCCTGATCAATTGCATGAGAGATCTGTTGCGGCCAACATAAGGCTAATACAATTAAATACCTAGTCCAGGTATGGTATTTTCCCTGGCAAACGATTTCCGATCCGTTTTAATACCTGTCAAACCATCACTATTTTAGTTTTACATCGAAAAAAAGCAGTTGAAAAGGAGCTTCAAGTATCAGAGACTCCCTTCTATGCTTACGAAGCCGTTGACATTTATTCCCGTTATTTAAACCTTATCATGATTTCAAATAACACATTTGAAGTTCTAGGTAGTTTAATCTGGATCTTTTCTCAACTTTTATGGAAGTTTTCAGGATGTAGTCCTGCTTCTGGTCAGCTGCAGACTATATCACTTTCACATGCTTCTAACCCCTGTCTTATCGGGTCGGTAGTAACAAGCGCGTGTGAAGCTTTGGGTCATTGTCATTAGAAGAGATGAAATATACGACGACATTGACATAGTTCAGCGAATTAAGAGACACAAGCAACGCAGACAAATCCATGTGGGCCATGTGAACGATAACTTTCCAACTTTGAAAGACGCTGTACTCTCCGATGGAATTACAGTAAGAGGAGGAGTTCCACTCCCACACTTGGTGTCTCCAATTGGCGCCGAACCGTAAAGAGACGTAACGAATTGTGAATTGTGCTTATCAGGTAAGTGGTGTCTACGTCAATAAAAAGGTGGTATAACAGTCAATTTTCTATAGACAAGGCTTGGCACCTAGAATAGACATTCAATTAAGAGAAAAGTACCGGTCTTCGATTTCCTCATTAAAACCGCTATGACTATTGCAAACAATATCGGTTATCGGACAGTCAACATCTAGCTTTAACTATTCTCTTTGAAAATATCTTCAGGAAACCTTCATACAAACACAAATACGCGACACTGCTAATTCTTACTCACAGTAACCATAGCTCGATTCCGAAGTACTAATCTGGCCGACATCGAATTGTGCTGGAACCTGCTCTTTGACGCCAACTAATTCTTTGGGATCGCAATGTTTCGAGGACAAACTAAAAACTTCACCCTGTCTACACGTTTCCACCGATAATTGACCATTCAAGCATTTCAGATATTTTCTACAATCAAAAGGATGTGGATATAGACCAGATTGGCCATAAGGACACACAAACGTCTCATCCAAAGAGTTTAATGCCGCGCTTCTGGCTATAAACCGATATTTGACTAGTATTTTGAAATAATTCAAATTATATTCACTTACATTCACTATACTCGGAGCTGTATTGAAGTTCCCAGGCACTACGCACGCGATCGCCGACAGACACTAGACTTTCAGGACGGCACGACTTGCCAGTTATGCTAAACACCGTGTTTGCGGGGCAAGTGATTATCCACATATGACCTTGCCGGCAACTGATGTGCTTCATAAAATCATACGGATATAGATGGAGACCGTCGGTGGATGGTGGACAACTGACGATCGTAACAGCTATTCGAATTAAGATTTGTGTGAGATTTATTGGCAAAGGCAAAATCATCGCCGACACTTACAGTACTCATAACGCACTTCCGACACAATATAAGCCACGCGATCGATGTGCGGCACATTCTCTTCCGGTTCGCAGTAATTCTTCGATATACTATACACGGTGCCGGGTAGGCAGTTCTGTATAGCGGTTTTGCCATTTTTGCAATTTATAAATTTCGTATAGTCAAATGGATAGGGAAAGTGACCGGATACGGAAGGTGGACAGAAGATATCGCCTTCTATTTCGTCTTTGCTCACGCTGTTCTCGTAGTCTATATTTTTATCCACATTGTAAAGATTGGCTTGAAATACAATCGATTGTATTTTTTATAAATTTATTTATATATATATGTAAAGGGTATTTTTTAGACGTGTGGTTTTCAATGAGGCAAAGCAATTTTCGGAGTTGGTACTTTCGACAGTTATACTCGCTGTGGTCGGTCATTTCATAACGAACAGACGAACAAGAACATCGTTTGTAAATCGTGCAAATTTATTACCAAATTATGGTTCGGTGGCGAGACACACTGCGCGTTGCGTCCAATATTCGGTCGACATAATCATCCAGCAGAGTTGATAATTCTGGCAACAATGCATCAGTATATCGTAAAATACCCGAATGAGTACATTCGCCATCATGTGGAGCTGTGCTCATCCACTTTATGGAAGCTTTTGAGGAAAGATCCATCCATCAACAGCGTCGAGCGTTCATTGAGTGGGCCCAAAACGAAATGGCCAAAATCCCGCTTGGGGGTGAATGGATACGTTCACAAAAGTGGAGGAGTGATGAAAGCCCAGTAGCCATTATTGAGATGACGTTACATCTTCACATGGTCACTGTTTGGTATACTTTATGAGCAGGATGAATGATTGGTCTATATTTTTTCAAAAATTAGGCTGGCCGTAATTGTACAGCCAGTGGGCAACGCTATGAAGCCATGATGCCTGAATTGCAGGATGTTGATGTGGACGACCTTTGGTTCCAATAAAATGACGTTACATACATGCAGCCAACGAAAAAAAAAAAACAATTTATTGAAGAAAACTTTTGATGACCTCGCGTCGTGGAGATCAGGCAGTTCAGACGATTAACTCCTTGATCGATCGAAATCGAGCCTCTCGGCTAGAATTTATTGGAACCAGCCGCGGCCCGAAATTATTTTTAAAATATTATGGAAAACCCCTAAATTTATAATAAAGCTGACTTTTTGGCCATGACAATAAATTGTATACGTTTCAGTTCTTCTTGCAAACCACATGTATAAAAAAACACCCTTTATAATAATAATTTGTTTACTCATGCACTAATACTTATATCTAGGGGAAAGCAAAAGCCAAGCGTCATGTTTGATAAGCATTGATGTGGAAGGCATGCAATCCTTTTTTTATTCTTTTTTTAGTGATTTAGCAGCTTCATGCGTTCAGTTGCTGAGATGAAAAAAGCGAGCGAGCACCATACATTCACCAATACACTCACGTTTGCTTCGGCTTGTTGACGCACAGCCAAGATTTTCCGCAAAATCACAAACCGAATTTACTCGATCAAAGGCCGTACCAGGTCCGCAGGGTTGTATCGCCGTCTGGCCATGAGCGCAGTTGAGAAATTTTGTGCAATCATATGGATGTGGATATAAACCACTCGCACCAGCGGGACAAGAAACGTCATCTGTTTCATATATTTTTTTTTATTTACAGGAACTTAACTGAGAATATTTTGCTTTTGATAAACTCTTCCCATCCTACAAAATCTTAAACTTTTCATGATCATGAGAGAAAAATAAATACCGATAAGATCAGCATGACGATCTGAGTTGATTTAGCTATGTCCGTATGCCCGTCTGTTTGTCCGTTCGTGCAGGTATATTTCAGTAATGTATTGATCACTTCCGGTCGGGGTAGTGGAGTGGTTAGTATTGCGCACTGCCATTCGGAAGGTTCGGGTTCAAGTCCCCGTGCGACCAACATCCAACAGTTATAGAAAATTAATTTAAATAAAAAATTAAGCTACATTTTGTAATTGCGATCGCCCCTCGGCAGGGAATGTCCACCCCTCCGAGTGTATTTCGGACATAAAATAAAGCTCCTCATAAAAAAACATCAACCATTCGGAGGCGGCTTAGTATAAACTGTAGGTCCCTTCATTTGCTGGAAAAACATCAAGACGCAAAACCACAATTTGGAGGAGGAGCTCGGCGGAAAAGCGCTTCAGCGGTTACCAAGCGCCAATTATATATTAAGTACTTCGTCAGCATAGGGGTGAGAGTTTCCCCTTCTAGAGCTTTATCATGGATAAAGTTTCCGTCTATAAGAGCTTTCATCTTAAGAAGTAAAGCTTCTGTAATCTAACTAACTCATCTATTATCAAAACATCGATCCTTCTAGATCTCTAGATCTATACGGAGCCTATAGTTAGTTATAAGTTAACAAAAGATAAAGCAAAAACGAAAACAGGAGTATTCAAAAGTCTCGTAGATACTTAAGTTAAGAGGGTATCTATTGTATAAGGAGCTAGGTTTAGTTAGATATAACTGCTCTTAAAAAGAGCAAATTAAGTGCATCGTTATATAGCGGACACCGTTAGTAAATTTCCAAAAAACATGCAATACTCCACTTACCGTGTTGACGGCCGTCACGAGTATTTAATGTACCGTAAGCGGCATTTTCGCGTCCACTGCAATCAACGTTTTCCTTGAAATCACACACCTTCTTCGTGGCACTGAATGCAGTGCCGGGTCCACAGTCCTGAACATGCGTATTGCCATTAGCGCAATTCAAGAACTTCGTACAATCGTTGGGATGTGGTGCCAAGCCAGTCAAACCCTGAGGACATAAAGCATTCACATTATCTGTACTCGCATCTATGAGACGCCCGGCGCGATATTTATTCTGTTGTGGTGCACTTTGTACTGTTGCTTGTGTTTCTCGACGCTCATCGCGGAGTGCGCCATTCACATTTGGATTGCTGCAGACAACTTTATCGGGACGATCACATTCAAGAGTTTCAGGATTGAAGACCGTTCCTGGACCACAACTCTGTATATGACCGCGTCCATGCCAACAATTCACAAATCGACGACAATCGTAAGGGTAAGGCACCGGCCCGGTGTGCTGTGGCGGACAGCCACTATTATAATCTGTGAGTGTATTCTCTACTTCGCTTCGAGCGCTCTCTCTGCGCCGCTCCGTACGCTCCGTCTGTCGTGCTGACGGTGAGTGACGCACGTGTGCATTGCGATTGTATAGAGGTAAATCGCGTTGTTGAAAACCGTCAGCTTGTTGTGGGTTTTCATACTGCTGCTGGGATGGTTGTGGTTGTGGACGTTGTTGCTGGTATTGGTTTTGGTGTTGCTGGCCATATGGAGGCTGATCGTAGTGCTGGTGTTGGTGTGAGTTACTCGGTGATAACCTCAATGAGCCGGCACCGTAATTAGGTCTGTTATCATATGGCTGTGTATTGGTATATGGTTCTTGCTCAGCATTTGTGTAGTCTGGATCTCGATGATAGGTCCTTGTTTTGATGCCTGTACGATCGGGATCATAGGTCTGAAATTTATTTTGTGCTTTATTATTAATATTTTTTTTTTTAATTTTGTTTACTTGTTTACTGCTGAATGAAAATACATATTATATATATATATATATATATACATATGTAATTGTTGAATTTGCAATTTGCATTTTATTTATAATAAACAAAGTCATGAATTAGTAAAATAAAAAGTATTAAAAGATTATTTTGAGAGCATTACAGAGATCAGCACCGTTATCAGAATGTTTTTTAATATTCACGTTCTAACGATTCGTACCTATCTAGAATTATATATATATATATATATATATATATATATATATATATTTAGATTAGCACTGAAGCGAGCTCCGTCTGAGCTCCGCCATCGATTTGTGATTAGCATCTAAAAGTATTCCCGACAAATGTACGAGCCTACATTCCTCGCTCGTCCAGTTCCTTCCAAGTTACTCAGAGGACTTATTTTAAAATGTTGAAGAGAATTGGCGTTGTGCGGTTTCAACAGAACTGGGCCGTGTTCGAGAATCTCCTTAGTAGTCGAAACAGCGATGTCAACTGGCCACCTCGGAGCAGCGATGTGACTTCATTGGATTATCTTTTGGGCGGCACCGTTAAGGATAATTGCCACGCCAATCATCCATAGAAGTGTTTTCAACAATTGGGTCGATAGCACGGGCTACTGCAAACGCGGCAGCCACAAGAGTAAAGTGATATTCCATCATTTACTAGAATGTTGAGACAGTTCAATAAACAAATAATATACGAATAGCCCAAGTTTTACAGACCGAGTGGAAAATATCGCCTCGGAGTCTGCTGGAGGTGGCCAAACTTAACAATAACTAATTCTCAAATGGGTTTCTTGTCATAGCGCAACGAGAGAAGCTAAAGAGCGCTCGAAATTGCTATGCAAAGGTAAAGAAGGCATGGCTTTTGCCATGTGAAAGCAGCACCTCAAGAAAGTTACCTATGAACAAGCTACGTGAAGGTGTAACCACATAACAACTTTCCATAAATCTGCGCCGAAATGACAACCTTAAAAAGGGGAGTACTCACAGGGTGACTTAAAGGGCGAATGCAGCAACACTTAGGGCTCATTATATGCAATGTTCTGAAAATAATGAGCAGGAGCAAACAAAGGCTCTTCATTCGCACTGCTTAGCAAAGTATTAGGTTTGGCTTCTTGGTGATATATCCAGAAAAGTTGAAGTGATTGAAAGAGGTGCATCAATCGAAGTGATTGGATAACGAAGAAAATTGAAGTATCACAAATGGCGTAAGTGAAATCGATTGCGAACCCAATATATTATATTTAGACTGCCGAAAGCAATCATGCTCCTTTTGATTCGATTTCCTGGTAACAACAGTCGTGATATACACTAGCAAGAACATTTCACTTGATACTTCGACAGTACTCAGCGTTATTAGTCACTCGACGAAGAAAGGAAGATTAGCCAAAAATGTGTTCCGTACTAATCGTAAAATAAATCATTGCATACATCAAGGCTGATTTTAAATATTTTATTAAGCATAGGAAAAGAAACAATAAGAAAAATAATAATAATAAATAAAAGTCGAAGAATTAAATATAAAGTAAACCCAAAATATTTTAGTAAATATTCTACAAAACAAATATTATTTTAATAATGAGACTCAATGGTTTCCCCAGTTTCAGTTGAATTAATCACGAACATATATATGTAATTTTCATGCAATGTAAATACCTAAATATTTTCTTGTAAACTTTGATAATGGTTATGGCATATTTATTTAATAAAAAAAAATATAATTATACACAGAGTCATACAAGAAAGTTATGAGCAGGCTTATAGGTATGCATGTATGTGCATATGTGCATACAAAGCAAGTAAATATGTACTTACAGCTTTAATGATAACAAGCTGAGTCGCGCATATAAGCAACCACAATTTTAAAAACATTTTCATTTCACTTTTTATGAATTAATTTAACCAATTTACTACTTCTTTCATTTACAAACACTTCTTCATTTTTTATTTATCAGAGAAATGTTTTCATTCAAGTTTAATTAGTTTAGTTTAAGATGTTAATATTTATTGTTAGGTTTCCGATGTCAAAGCAGATTCAACAAATAAAGACTAATTTTAATAATAAAAAGTCTAATTATTTTTTTATTAACGGTTTTACGCTTTTCTAAGGCACACGCTTAGTGCACATCGATTATTTAAATAATATATGGTATAAACATTTGAATATGTATGAAAATTAGATTTTATTTTGATTTAAACATATTTTTAAACAATATCTTATGCATATACAAGCATATATTTGTATGTATTTGCCCACAAAACACACTTTATTTTGAATAACTCTTGTTTAAATCGCACACTAAACGATTCCAAAAGGAAAAATATAAACTGAAAATCTCGCGTACTTTTAGACTATTATCTACAATCCGTGTTTTCCCAACCAAGAGTATTTGCGTTTTAAAAGCAAACAAACCGTTTCAATTTCAATTAAGCGTCCGCAGCTCGTAGCTGGTATCTCATGGTAGACACAATTAAGACTGCGCAGCCAGAATGAGAGCAAAGTTTTTGAATCATTCAAATCTTCAATGGATTCGTTGGGTACATATATACATATGTATGTATATTCTACATATGTATAACTGCAGTTGTATATGTACATGAAAGCATATTCATTTTTTATTTGTTTTTTTTTTTTGTCCATACGTGTGTAATTATTTGTTCGAGATCACTGCCAGGAGCACATAAAAGTTGAACCTTTATGTAAATGCAAAAAATGTATCGTTTATACATACAAATGCACAACAAATTGTACACAGTTTTAAAGAGAACATTGTAAAAAGCCATACGCATTTTGTAGGAAATGTCATCACTTTAATTTTACATATATAGCGAAAGCAACTAATCAACTTCGATTATCGTCAGTGGCAATCTCTAGACCTTTCGTTAAAACATCCATACATACATAAAAAAGCTTCCTTATCACAAACATTTACGATTTAAATGCATTGAGCAAAGAAATTTGCTTCTATTAGATGCATTTGAAATATTTATTTATTACATAAATATGAAGATAATTTAATGCGGATTTAGGTGGATTGGTTGTACAAATTTTTAACATAAATTATCGACTCTGGCAATAATAATAATATCACTGGCAAATATGTACGTCTATATATTTGTAAGGTGGAGTTCAATTCAATTAAATATCGAAAAAACTTCAACATATAAATTGATATATGTCACGTTATTTAAAATGATAAAATTAGTTATACAATACTATATATATGCACACTTTTGTACATATTCTATGGCATAACACATAAATTAAAAAAGTTAATTTTGTTGAAAAATTTACTAACAATATTTTTTATATTACATCAATTGTGTCGCATATCGTTATGTTACTACTTTTACCTTACTTACGTAACGCTAATTAATACAAACAAACAGCTAGTTAGTAAATATTTTTTATTTAGTTTTTGTTTCACTATTTGAGTGATCTGCTTGCTGTTTTGCAGATTTTTGATCAGTTTTCGCAGTAATTGTTTTCATTTTAAGCCACATTCTTTCATATGGGTTCTGTACCTCTGTTTTCGTAAGTGGTATTCCAAGTGAGCGCCGCACAGCAGGCGTGGTAAGTAATAAATTTTGAGCCAAGCCGTAACCGCTAGAGGCGACCCAGTAAACGCAAAGAGCCTGAAAGAAAGCAATGAAGACTTATGCAGACTCTTTTTTTGGTAATATTTTATTATTTTACCGAAGGCACTGAACACGCCACAGGCACCATAGCAATGGTTAGCACACGAAATACATTTGTTGCATATTTTTGCAACCGGGTGGTAGGACGATTGCGTAATATTGTTTGCATCTGAAAAATAAATTTGAAAATAATAACAATGGCTTACAATCACACGTGTTTACCTCTATTATGCTTAAATTTATTAAGCCTAACGCAACAGGCAAAATGTATGAGCTGTCAACTTCAGTCAGATTCGGTATCCAACCAAAACCACCTACTGTCATTTCTGTGCAAATAATTTGTGCTTGCAGTGCTGTTGGATCGGGCATCATATGCACAAGGTTTCTCAATGCTACCGATTGGCATATCCATAATGGTATTTGACCCCAAAGCACAATAAATGTTTTTGCCGGATGACAGTTATCACGCACCACTAAAGCATTCCATTGCTTCTTTAGCTAAAATTATTGAAAAATTATTACTAGAGTAATTTATTGAATAGATTTCCTGAGCTTACGTACCGACCGATTATATACCACTCTGGTTTGACTCTCAGACCATTTGAATTTTTTCATTGCTATAGCAGCCTCCTTCTTTAACTCAGCTACAATTGCTGGCATTTCCAAAACGAGTAGCTCTAGGCGTGCCATTATTTTATGTTGATATATTGCTAATGGTAATGTTATAAACGTGCGAAAGAGCACCGTAGACATAACAATAGAAGCCCACCATGGTAAACCGCTGCTGTCATGTAACGCTATTAGCGCATCTTGCATGTAGGCAACAGGTGTGCTTTGTGAGAGGGACAACCAAATTCCGCTGAATGGCGATTGCACTTGTATTGTTGATGCTGCAGCATTAACACTTGCCGCTTCTGAAAGTCCTCGTTGTTGTAATTGGAATACACATGCAGTGGAAGTGTTGCTATTCTTGTAGTTATTCACTCTTCTCACAGAACCACATTTTGCAGAAATGGATGAAATTTTACGCTGGGTTATTACATGTTGATGCTGTTGATAAATGTGTTGCCCGATTTTTGTATGAAATGTTCTCAAATTTATCATAATGGAGATATATAAATGATTCTAATCGTAAGAATAAGTAATCAAAATAAAAAACAGCTGTTAGTCAGCTGTTCTCTTCTCCACAGTGCTGTAAAATGATATAATTTCAAGACAACCATTAATCGATATTTTTTATCGCATTACAAGCGTAATGCTACATTCGCACCGTTCTAAATATGCGAAGAATGTTAAATATCAAACAGGTCTTCAATTCTTCAATTTCGTAAATATTTTGCACTATGATTTCATTTTATGAACTTAGATCTGTATGGAAATAATTCCAAACGAATAACATTCTTGATTTTTGAAGTACTTCATGGGTTAATGGAAAAGATATAAAAAATTTTTAATCAGTTATATGGATATTATAAAGGATATCAAAGTGATGAAGTAAACCTGTTACATGTCATAATCAACTTATGACATTGATATTGATAGAACCGTCCATTTTGTAAAATTTAGATGAAGTTTGAAAACTTTTAAAAAATTAAATAAAAATAAAACATCTGGCAGCATTACATTTATTTTTACGAATATGAGTAGACAAATAATGTAAAATAGCTAACAAAAAGCAAATCTAATGCACAAAAATAAAAGTATTTCGCAAAAGACGCCTTGGGAAAGTCTTTTCCATATAAATTAAATAAAGAAAATTAATAAAGGGCCAAAAATATTTCTATACAAACGGTAATCAATTTTTTTCCAAATTGACTTCAATTGCAGTGAAGTGCGAGAAGGGCGAATAACTAATTTTTATTAAATATCAAAATTTTTAGTTTTTCAATATTTAAGCAATTCATTTTCTGCGTCGTTATTTGTGCCGTTTTGCAAAAAAAAAAGAAAAAACTAAAAACCTAAAAACAATTGAAAATAGAATACACAAAAAAAACAACTAAATTGCTTTATAGCAAACAAAATAACGTTACTATTATCTGTATTGATTAACGGTGGCAGATGTAATTGAACCACTTTTTTTATTATATTTTAGTTGGAGCTGCAAAAGCAGACGTGTAGAAATTGAGGTGACAGTGACGCAGTTAAAGGCGAAGAGTGAGATTGCAATAGACTCGATTAGTGCTGATTTTGTTTCTAGTCATGAGCCGTGGGGTCTCACAATCATGGGATCAGATACCTACACTCGTATTGGGTAACATATATGAATATCTCCAGCAGCGAGATCGATTGAACGCTTCGCAAACTTGTCGTCACTGGCGTGGGGTGCTTTTCCAAAAAAGGTGTGTATCGTCAATAGATAGGAATGAGGGAGCATGTATATTTTGTATTTATTATTTTTGACAAACTAGTTATTGTACATCCACATACATTTATACACAACAAATATTCGTAATATCCGTTTGTAAATGTCCATGCTGTTATAAATATCTTAGCCAACTATCGCAATTCATCCAAAAGGTCTAAATGGAAAAAAGATGCTTTTAAACAATAAGAAACAAATTTTGCAGAACATGGAATTATGTTTTCTAAACAGATCAAGGGACAATCAAATTTTTAAAAAATTTTAAAGTTGCAAGTCTCTTCAAGTGGGTATGCGATTTACAAATGAATACGCATACATATCTCCATATGTATCTGTACATGCATACATGCATTCATGTTTAGATACGAGTATATGACTCAAATTCACGTTTGGCGTAAAAACATAATTTCTTCTTTATTTTCAGATTTTTCAACAATTTTAAGTTCAAATTGCACATTAACAATGAACGGCAGTGTATATTTTTTCGCCAAACAATATGTAATCTGGCAAAAGAAGTTACCATTAAATTTGACTATCTGAATATTTACCACATAGTGAAAGTAAAAGGGATCCTATATAAGTACGTATAAATTTCCACTAAGGTAGTACATATGTAAATCATTTGTCTTTTAATTTTTTTAAGAATTGCACGATGTGAAAATTTGCAAGGTTTGCATTTTTCAACAAATGCAGTCAACTTAACACCAACTGGCGATAAAACGCCAGAAAGTCGTGCCAGCATTGAAGAGTATAGAAACTTATTTACATTTTTTATATGAATTATACTAAATTATTTGTATTTGTAGATGCTTCATAGATCCTTTGCAAAAGTTTTTAAACCGTAAAAGATTTCCATGCCAAATATTGAATTTGGGCTCAATTGAATCTCTTGGCAGCTACGCTGTAGAAATGCTTAAAGCTTTAGGTAACCCTGAGGCCTTGGAACAACTAATGTTGGCCTCAATAAAGTTCAACTCTAAAGAATATGAAGTGCTTTACATAGAGCCAGCTTTGTTGCAAAGATGTTCTTCATTGCAGGTGAAATTTTACGACGAAAAAATCTTCTGGAATTAATTTAAATTAATACATACATATATACTTTAAATTTCCAATTAAGATTTTATCATTGGATTACGATAGTGTAAACGAGGATCTTTTAAAAGCGCTGGAAAGAGTGCCGTTGAAAAAGTTTTTAATCTGTATACATAGCTTGCATCGTCAACATCCTGGTATTTCCGATACATCTTGGGCTAGTTTCGGTGCTATATTTCCCAATATAGATTTGATTGTAACAGTACTGTATTCTCTTGAAGTAGCAGAAGTTCTACATGTACGCATACTCCGTCACCATATGCCAATTACACATTTGCGAATGCTATTTTGTGAATATGTAAGAATCTTTAGGTATAACTTCCATTTTTGTGTTCAATTTCTAACATATTATTATGATTTTAAGATGAATCTTGAGGCCTTAGATTGGATGTCTGTAAATAATAGCAACACCCTAAAGAGTATTCAGTGGTTAGATTCTGTGAGTATACAGAAAAATATGAAATAAAAAAAATTATTTACTTTGCAACTCTAAATTTATTTCTTTATGTATTTAATTCAGGCTTTTAAGGATGCCGATAACAATTTTATGGACATCTTTTTGCGCTCCGGTCAAGATCCGCTTGTAATGATGGCTTGGCGTTGTAAAAATTTAGAGGAAATCGTAATACATGGCTATGTATTGGATCCACATAATATTGTTGGCATTTCACGTCTACGCGGCCAAACACTTAAACGCCTTGAAATATCTATGATCGATAGAACTCCAACCGAAGCCAGTATGGAATCATTTATTGAGGTGAGCCATTTCATTTGTCATTTGCAAAGATATATATAATTTCTTTGTTTACAGGAAATCAATACTTTACTTGGCCAAAAATGGGCGCCACTCAATCCAAATAACTTACATCCTGCGCTTGGCTATTTGCAAGTGTCAGAAGACATTCGTGATGACTATGTTTTCGATCTCATACGCCGTGATTTGGGCTACTAGAAATTAATTGCAACAACTCACCACAGTTTTTATGCGAACTTAGGTATACTTTTTTCAATTTTGAATTCTTTCTTAGCTAATATAATTACATTTTTGATTTTGATATTGTATTTTAGGTTAACTGTAGGTTAAAACTAACAATAAAAGTATGTAAGTAAATACATAGACAACAAACAGCACAATATATGGGTAAATTTGAAAATAACTTAGCAATGTGGCTATACAAAAACAACAAACAACAGAAACAACCAAAGTTGAACGAGAAGTTAAATGACAAACGCATTGCAGTGATATTTTTCATCAATAACTTTTAAACTACTTATAAGAGTTGTGAGCAAATGACAAAAGTACAGTAAATTCAACAAACCATCTGTTAAAAAGCCCATTTATGAAGATAAGATTTAACATAAACAAAGAAAAAATCGTAAAATGGAGAAGCATCCAAACTCAATTACCTACATATTCATAAATAAATGTATATATTTAGGCGATATTAGTTTAAGAAAAAACAATAACAACTACTCTTGTGATAAGAAGGGGAAAGAATTTATTTGTATGTAAAAGACGCTAAAATTCACACAAGTGCAACGTGAAACATACAAAGGTTATTAATCAAATGCAATCACAAATCGCTCCCGAATGTATTGTATTTCACCAAAGAATTAACTTGAGGTGAAAACTAAGAGAGAGAAAATGTTACCAAAAATTGTTTTCTCATCGAACAATAAGATATGCAGTAATGCCACTGGGAAAAGAAAAGAAATACCTTGGAAGATTGAAGACAAGCTCCAATATTATACAAAGCAATTATTTGTTTACTTATTTTATTTTTTTCATGCGTATTACACCGGCAAATTGTAGCAACAAGAAAAACATAGATTTTATATAGACATATATGTATATGTGACCAATATGCAATGTGTTTTGTATGAGAAATTAACATATATTCCATATTATTTTATTTTTTTGTTTTTACAAAAATACTATAAAAAAATGATTTTACTTGACCAATAAGTTTATATGATGATTGACTCACCAATGAAAAAGGAACAGTTTTATTTATATATGTCGATTTAATTTATTATCTATAACAGCAAATATTTTCCAAGTCTTTTATTTTGTTCACGAATACCCAATATATACGTTTATTTGCAATAAGTTGGAAATATCGATAATAGATATTTCTTGCAACAGATGTTAAATGGTTCAATCTCAATTACTTCAATATTTCAAATAATATGAAAAGGAAATTGCGAACGTACAACACCAAAATGTGTATATTGTAAATAAATATAAATAACATCGAATATTAAGTAAAAATTTATTAGAATCGATTAAACAAAGGTGCCAGCAGCCATTTTACAACAACCAAAGGCATCGCTGGAAACTTGAAAATTGTAATTTGTATGTATTTATATTTTTTGTGAATTTTTATATATTGTATTTTAAAGCGAAACTCTTGAAATTATCTCAAACATGTTAGTTTTTAGCTCAGAATAATTTCTTTACCGCATTTTAGTACACAATACACGTATTACTACTACAAAAACAACTACTACTATGCAAAAAAAAAAAAAACTTTTAAAACATAGCACATATAGAAATTGTAGTAGAACAAACCATATGTGCATTTCTAAAATACTAAACGCATTCAAATATAAATTTATATTTTTTACATGCAAAAAGAAATTGTTTAAAAACGCTTAAATGGATGTATATTGGTGTATACGAAATAGTTGTTTTAGTTTATTTGTTAACGTTTTTTTTTTTCTTAAATAGAATGCTGTTAAATTAATTGTGTGCGAAGCAAATATTCTATATAAATGTAAATGAGATTTAAAAGACTTAAGATCATGAAATGAATGCGTTGAGAAATGAGCGTCATAAATTAACTACTAAATTGACGTAATACATAAGAAAAATGTAATTCAAGTGAAGTGAAATGTGTAATGTAATCTTTAAAAACATCTTTAAACAAAAATTGTTAAACAAAAGCAAACATACAAACAAACAACATTAATATTTTGTTTAATGTGAAACAAAGCTGTGATTTAATGCAAGCCAGCATACGTTAAGAATGCAAATTAACAACAACAAAACAAAATGATAACAACTGCAATTGCAACAACAACCAAAAAAAAATCCATTGTAGGTTGAAAAGAACAAATATTAGAATTCAATTACAAATGTTTACATTAGTTAAGTATAAAAAGAATCTGTTGACAACGTTTAAACAAATATGTCGGTATGCACCTGTGGGCAGGGAGCTTAGTTCACAATAGTAAATGTTAAGAAAATACAAGCTTTAACGGGAGAGTAAAAGAGCGACGAGCGGCAGGAGAAAGAGTTCTACAGCAAGCGCAATGCTAGGCAAACACTTCCGAAAGCTTAATAAGGAGAAAGGAAGAAGAAATTAAATTTAAATGACACGACTGCAAAACATTTTTAAAATAACTAATAACAAAAAAGCATTTGAAAAATATTTAAAAGAGCCTTAGTGCAGCGTGTGAGGTTAAACATTTTATATTTCGTATTTGTAACATTTCTGGGCATTCCAATTATTCGTATAAGTTAAGCTGAAACAAAACAAAACAAAAACTATGTTACCACCTGTGTATTATGCAGATTTAATATATCTCGAAATGTGAAATATTTTAAATGTAAACTTTGAAATAAGTTGCAAACGTAAATACATGTTTGTAATACACATAACCCTAAAAAGTTAAATGAATAATTCAAACTTCAGAAAAGTATATGTTAACTTACTTTAATTAATCTAAATTCTAAACCGTATTATATCATAAACGTCTAATTTAGTATTACCTTTTTTTTTTACATGCATACAAACATATTTTATAGCTCTCTGCTCCAAGCCGTGCAAGAAATATGAATTAATTACCTTTAAATGTTAAGCTCAAATGTCAACAATGCTCAAAGATGCTGGTAAAGCCAAGCGTGCATATGTACTATATCTATCTATGTTTGTATACTGTGTGTATTGTTAAAGGTATATACATACATAAGTATTACCATATGTTAAACAGCATAAGACAATTTTTTTAAGAACCTTGAACGGTACAAATTTAGAAGTAAATCAAATCCAACTACTTTGTACCGAAATGCACGAATACAAAAACAATGCAGAATCATGCAAATAACAAGCAAACCAAAATCGAAGAGTTACGCATTGTGTAAAATACATAAACAACAACAACAACCAACAAACAAACAAACAAATTGTGATGAAAAGTATAACTATGAATATATCAAACTCGTAATTTAGAGAGGAGAGAATTGAAAGACAAAAACAACAAACAAGCAAAGAAACAAACAAATAAATTTAATAACAGCTTCTGTATGCGTATAAAACAAGAACAAAAGCAGTCAGGGCAAAAGGGGGTAAAATTGATGAATTAAAGAAAACCATTAATGTACAGTACGTACACAGCACAATTGTACCATGTAATCATACAAGTGTATGCATATGTAGTATATATCTAATGTATATAGGTATGTACGTATGTATGTTATTTTTGCAATTTAATTGATATGTGATATGCGTCGTCCGCAATAACAGCAATAGTTAGCGGCAAGCAACAACCTATTATATATGTATGTATATGTATAACAAACAACCAAGCAAACGCAACATCTAAACAAAGAATGTTAAAAAGTGATATTAACAATTTAATTTAATAATTAACAACAACAACACTAAAAAAAGAAGAAGAAAATAAGAACAAAAACAACAACATCAAGACAAGTAGTTATAACAATGTATTATGAAATCAAATCGAAATGGAGTAGGGAAATCGCCCAAAACTAGATAAATAATAAACATCATTGTGCTGTACGAGAAATGTTTAGGAAAATTCGCAATCAATAAATCAATGTGATCCTTAATAAATATAACTGGAAATCAAACACACACTATATACATGTGTACATATGAGTGAATGAATAGACATAGAATTGAAAAGAATACCATTAAAGAAAATTTGAGAAGAAAATTTAAAAAACCAAAAATATTGTGAAATAGTTTTCTAGGTTTTTTTGTAGCTTAAAATGTCACAGGCGCTTAAAAAATTACAAATACACCGATATTAATACGCGTACCCTCTCAATACAGCCTCAATAGGGTGTTTTTTAATATCAACAAATATTTTCATATTAAAATCAATTGTAAATTCATAATATTCTCAAACACAAATTGTAACTCGTCCATAAAACTTATATTGAATATGTGCCATATCAAGTAAAAATCACTTTTTTATAATTTCTAAAATTTCTTTAGCTGGCATTATTACCGACACTTTTAAATCTATTGTCTTTATATTGCGACCTAACCGCCAAAGGGGCGTGAACAAGAAAACCGTCAACAGCCAAGCGAGTATGTACAAATTTGTACGTAAGATCAAATTGATTTCCTCATAACTTTGTAACGGTACTTACGTACTTTTATTTTTAAGTTGTTGCGTAGAATATCGAACCTGATTGTGTCTACTGAAAAAGTAAAGAATTTACTATAAGTCTGCTGTTTCACAATATTTTTTGGTTTTCATGAGTATTGAGTGAGCTGCACAAACATTTTGTGAAACTTTTGTACTATACGGACTACATCTAACGCTTTTCCAATGTTTGATTTCTAAGTTTAGATATAATTATGTTTTATGTATTAGTAAATGCTTCAAAGAGAAACTCTTCATATATGTGTAAAGCGATGTCTTTCAGTAGTATTAGAGAAAAAATTTACAATAACAAAATCGGTTGTTCTCAGAAAAAATTTTTTTAAAATTTATTTTTTCTTCAATTTTTTTTTTTCTAATTTTCGTTAACATTAATAGTTAAGTGAAATTTAATTTTTTTTTAATTAAAAATGATTTTATGTATAAAATTTTTTAAATAAATATTTAAATTATAAAATCTTTAGTAGTTTTATAAAAAAAAATAACTGCATTTTTTTTTTTTTTTTTTTTGTATGTGGTATTAATTTGTTTTGTTTATAATTTGCTTTGAAATTTTTAGTATTTTGTGGAGGAATTTATGACTTTCGAAAGTAAGTTAAATCTGTATTACACTAATTTGGTCCTTAAAAGCAAGGATGTTATGTACAGATGCTTCCCTTTTTAATACCATAACGAAATTCGAAAATGTTCTTCAGATTGCTGCAACTTTCCGTTCTCAACCAACAAAACCAGTCGACAAAAAATCGGCATTATTCATCGAAAAAAACTTAACCGGTATAAAGTCATTTCAAACCTTCTTAAAATTATATTTTGAATTTAGTTTTTGAACACATACATAAGTACGGGCGAGTTCCAAACCGTCAAAATACTTTGTAATGATGCGGTTGCAAAACAATAGAACCCTACATTCGATAAATTTATCTTGCAGCAACACTTTGAAAACCCTGGCATTTTGGACCTCGTGCAAATAAGTTGATTTCCGGTGAAATGGCTAAAATATAAAACAGATGAAATAAGTAAGTAATATAATGTTTAGATGAAGAATTATCGCAAAGAACTTGCTCTCCGGCGTCGACAATCGTAATCTAATACAATACTAGCTTTCTCAAAGGAAACCAATCCATTTAACTCTCCACAGTAAAAATTTTGAGTTTTCTAATTGCATTTTACCTGCTTTTAATTATTCAACATATCATATATGTACACGTGCTTTTATTTTTATTTATTTAATTATTTTATTTTGTTTAATTAGAAAGATATCGTTGAGACATCAAATCTTAATGCATATGAGTTATATATGTATGTATATTATGTATAAAGGTATGCGATTAGTGGATGCTATGTATTTTAAAAATCGAGTAGCATGAATATGTGGTGGCAAACGACGATTCAACCACACAAATATACGCTTATAAGAAAATCAATTTAAGCAATTTAAACACACAAAATAATTATAAATATTAACAACAAATATTACCGACACCGATATACCGTATATATATATATATATATATATATATATATATATATATATATAATATGTATACGTATGTACAAATGTATATGCATAAAACACTTACATCCCCATATACATAAACATATAATGTAGTTACATATATAAAATTTATAATTGTTAGAACAACAACAAACAACAAAAAGCAACATGAACAACATGAAGAACATGAATGATAAGAAATGATAAAATCATTAAGTGGAGCTGTGATAATCAAACTAAAATGGTAATAAAAACAACAACAACAACAACAAAGACAACAACAACTGACAAATGAGATCGGCGTTAGGAAGCTAAGTAAAAGAAAATTTCCCCCATGAAAAAATATCAAATAATAAGTATGTACCGCAACAACAACGGGAATAAGTTATACAACAAAAAAAAAATAAATAAAAATACATGCATATATATGTATATATAATGATAAATATATACATATGTATGAATGTTACAAATACTCAGTGCGAATTTCCACAAAACCGTCTTAAAACAAGAGTTGAGAGAACACCTCAAACACAAATAAAAATAAATAAATAGAATAAGGTATGCAAAGAAAAATTTAGCAAGAAAAAAAATTACAAAAGCTTAAAAAAAATATTATGATGCCAAGAAAAGATATCGAAAATTGTAGTAGTAAAATATGCGATTCATAAAAACATTAAAATAAATTTAGTCAAATGCAAATTGTATGCAAACTACAAAATTGTCAGCTAGTAGCCGTAAAGATGTGCACATTTTGCTTAAAAATATTTGTATATGTACATTTTCACTTTTTAAGAGTAATTTGAACAGCAACAGCGTACTGAAAGTAAATGAAAACTAAAAAACAAAATCTTGAACGAAAATTGGATAAAAAAAGCAACTCCAAGCAAAACGAAAATGTTAAAAATTTAGTTCTGGCTTTTTATTTCATATATTGCATACAGTGAAAAAGCGCTTCCATTTCGAGAAACTCGTTTTTTAAATTAGCTTTCGCTATAAAGTTTCAAAAACATAATACGGCTGCTAATGCTTAGACTTTAAGAATTCCAATTTTTTTATTTTTTTTACAGCAACGTCATAATATTTATACGTACATATGTAGTTATTTCAATGAATTTTTTTAATTAAGAATTTTTTTTTCTTTCCAATACACATTGTATTATGCGAATTATCATTATGAATTGAATGAATAAAAAGTATTTTCCGATAATAATATTGAAAATATCTCAATTTGTATTTATTACCAATGCACTTTATGAATTTAGGTGGGAATATAATATATATGGTAGATGCTTTGTACCCGACGAGCTCCTCCTCGAATTTGTGGTTTTGCGTCTTGATGCCTCTCCAACAAATGGAAATACACTCGGAGGCACTACGAGCTGCTACCCTATGGCCAAACGCTCAATTCGGCCCTCTACTGCCAACAAATGGAACGCCTAAAGGCAGCACTTATCCAAAAGAGGCCATCTTTGATTAACAGAGGCCGAATTGTATTCCATCAGGACAACGCCAGGCCACACACGTCTTTGGTGACGCACCAGAAGCTCCAGGAGCTTGGATGGGAGGTCCTAATGCACCCACCTTATGGTCCGGACCTGGCACCAAGTGATTATCATCTTTTCCTGTCCATAGCGAACGCGCTTAATGGTGAGAAGTTGACATCAAGAGAGGCCTGTGAAAATTGGCTCTCCGAGTTTTTTGCCAACAGGGACGCAGCCTTCTATAAGAGGGGTATAATGAAGGCATCTAGTTGGCAACAGGTTTACGAACAAAACGGCGCATATTTGACTTAAATCGGACAAATGTTATCATATTTTGAAAAATCAATAAAAACCGAACGAACTTTTTACTTGACCTAATATATATAGATATTATACTTCTGCATTGAACGATTGGTTGGTTAGCAGTGTGTTCTAACAAGCATGATATCGAAATCTAGGTAGACTAGCAACAACGTTAAAAAAATGAAATTTATGAAATAAAGGCTTCTCATAAAAAAACCAGCTGTTGTTCGGAGGCGGCTTAGTATAAAATGTATGTCAAAGCGCAAAACCACAAATTGTAGGAGGAGCTAGGCCAATGCAGAAGTAACTCAGCTTATGGCAAAGACAGGCAATGATTTTTTCTGAATATGATGCCAAAGAGATGACTTAACTTTTTTCTGTGTAGCTTATTTATTATTAACGCGAAAAATGTATTCGAAAGTACGAGTATACAACCATAGTTAGCATTATTATTTACGGTTATTATTCCACGCAACGGAATTGTAACAATGACCTTTCTATTTGACATCTCAATCATCAAAATCGATCTGATTACAAGAAAGTCAACTGAAAGTACATAAATATTGATTTCAAATTGGAGTAGGAAAAACTTTGATGATTCTTCAAACAGGCTTAGAAAAGGGTATGCTGAACTTTGAGCCAGCTCTCTCTTCCACTCTCTCTATCTCTCTGACTTTCGTTTCGCTCTCATTTCTTCTAGGCGCCAGCGAATGTCAGTTACTCATACGCACCCCACTACCGCGGTGACAGCTTAAGTCCTACCAAAATTCACTATGTCAATGTTTACAATACCGCAAAGCGAAAAGAGCATTTTAACAAAATTAGATAAAATTTCATATATACATACATATGTACGTACTCGTATGTAAAAGCAGTTGTGCATATGCGCACGGGGAGTGCATTCGCCGATTATGCTCAATTCTGTAAAAATTAATTTGTGAACGAGAGAGAAGAACAGTTTTCAACCAGCTCTTTTTGTTTGGGTTATGTCACCCCAAATGTGCTGACCCATTCCTCTCGTTTACGATACATTCCTACTTTTATATGCATGTAGCTTTGTGTGTACTCGCATGCCTTTAGATATACGCTCGCCTGCAGTCACAATATCGAGACCGCGAATCAGTGAGTTTGGTTGGTGAGCTCTTAAGTAACCGGTGAATAATTGAAACTGAAAATCTGTCTCATGTCTCATTTGGCTGTCGTTGAGTGAAGAAAACGCGAGCACGAAAAATTTGTTCAAAATTTGGAAGTTGTTATTGTTCGTAGTGAAGCAGGTAAAATATTCGTAGAAAAAATATTATAGAAATTTTGATAAGAAGAAGATATAAGCAAAACAGTGGCAAATCAATGTGAAAGAAAGGAGCTTTGCTGCCTTTAATAAATTATTGTGAAACTGAACAAATTATTTGTGGTTAATGCCTATTAAAGATATAGAGGCATAACTACGCACATACATACAGCGTATACATATGTATGTACCTAGGCATTTACACAATCGATAGCAAGCAAATTTCTATTGAACGTTAAAGCTTTAGCAAATGATTGTTATTTGTGGCTTAAGAAGTGTTGAAAAGCGATATCGTGTTTTACCAATTAACGCTTTAGCGGATTACAATAACAAACCGTAGGTAGGGTCAAGATACGAATTATATATGTATATATATTTTTTTTTATGGAAAAACCTTACTTCTCTAAATACAATAAAAAAATAACAAAAACAATCGCAAGGAATTGGAAAAAAGAACCTTCTTAAGAGAGCAAATATATTTTATTATAGTAAATTTTTGTTGAGAGAGCAGCAGGTGAGTGCAATATTGGATACACATGGCATCTTGTGTTCTTCTGCACAATACTATAAACATCCAATGGCACATGCATATATACATATGTACATTATAGGATGGGTTAATAATATGTACATACATACATATGTATACTTTCGCCAGCATTACTCACGATTTTTCTCATGCTTTGATGACGTAACAGTGCACGATGTTTTTGATAACAAATGTTTAAAAAAAATGCTGTTTAATTATGTGACATATATTCCTACATACGTACATTTCAGTATGAAATAAAATTATGTTTTTGTGTATTTCACATGCTTCCAATGACATGAAAATAATCTAAAAATTTATAAAACATGACGTACCCGTTTGCATATACACGTATGTAGCCTTGTGCTCTGCTATTTACTTTTGGGCATGGTTCAGTTATGATAAAAATGATACGGTTCCCAGAATATTAGTTCCTGTGAATATTCCACCTATTAACAGATGTATGTGTGCATATGCCCTGTGAGAAAAATAAAGAATAATTTCTGGATATAAGTGGATTTAGCCATGTCCCTCCCTCTGACGACCAAATCTGTTGAAATATCATATATACTCCATATAACCGATTTGTGCACATACGAGGTTTTGATAACGAAAATATTCGAAATTTAAAGACTATACCATATGGCTCCATATAGCCGATTTGCTCAGGTATAAGCTTTGAGTCAGAAATCCAACAAAAAAACTTCTAATGGCGGTAAATTATTATCCTGGCTACATAAATTCAAATAAATATTGACAACGAAAATCATCAAAATTTAATTATGGAATAAATTTGAGGCATTGCGTACTACCCAGCGGAGGATAATCTGTTCTAATCCTTTTAAGCCCTTCTAGGCTATTTATATGTTAGGAAATGAAAGCTACTCATAATAATCCATCAAACGTTCGAAGGCGGCTCAGAAGACATTGTAAGTCCCTCCGTTTGCCAGAAAACCTTCCCAAACACATACCATAAATTTTATGAGAAACTAGAGCGTAAATCGTGTCGATCGTTACAAAGCGTCAATTATAAACATTTTAATGGAAATACTTGTACATTTTCTAAACTGAAAGATTTAGCTAAAACATTTCCTTATTACAATCATCTCTGGGTATTGAAATAATTTCTTTAAAAGAAAATAGAGCCATGCTTTTTTAATTTCTTCCACAATGCATACCTATCTCCGTAAGGCAGGAGCTTGGAGCATTTTGAGCGCTATGATATCTCAGTCAGCTGCAGCTGGGGACTAGCTTCTTAAAGAAGAAGCTTAGTAATAATACACCTCCAAAAATATGAGATCTCGTTTCATCCCACCCCGCAGTAATTTAAGAATAGCTACACTGTCTGTTGTAATTATTCTAAAAAACTTAAGTTTTTCTCCAGACCAATTTTTTAAGGAAAAAACACAGAAAGGTTTAAGGCAGCCCATCGTAAGCGGGGAACTCCACCTATTTATTATACCTATTATACCTGTTACCATGACGCGAGTGATGTCCACTACATTGCCACATTGTCTGTTAATTGCCCACCATAGAGAAACGAGTTCGATTTCAAATGAAATCAATAGCTAGAAAGTTCACAAGCGTCTTGTTTATATTTTAGGAGAGTTAGATCCTCTTCTGAGTTTCTCTTGGATCTCGCTTCTTTCGTACTTGAGTCTGGAGTTGATACGTACATTCGATTTCTTAGATGTCATATATATTTAATCTCGTCATAATATTATCCATTAGCATGACAGACTCATCGTTTAACGAGATTTTCTCCTTAATAAACAACAAAAAGCATTTTTCTCTACAAACACGGCATACTCTGAACTTGAGTCACCAAATGATTTTTCCTCTAACTGCAGTACTGCACTAAGTCTAAATCGTTTAATTTTACGACATTCCAGTTTAAGGCTAAATATTTCTATTTGTTTTAGAAACGTGTGATCATTAAATCTTATTATCTTTGTTTATTTGTATTTAATGCAATGTGGCTGTACCCTCGTATGTATGTGTGAATTTCGCACATGCAATTATGTACATTCACCTGTCCATTTTTCTACTATTTCGACTATTTCCACTAGCAGTCAAACAAAACTTGCATTTTGCCGCTTTATTTCAATTTTTATCAGATTTGTAAGCACTATGTGCGTGTGTGTGTGCACACATTCTACCAATGCTGTTGTATTATATTTGCTAACTTAATGTACAAATCTTTTCAGATTTCATGTACTCGACGAACTCGTAGGTAGGCTAAAAATATACAGTATGAGCAAATTTAAAATGTCAGCATGACTAGAATACGTACGGATATATATGTATGTATGCATAGTGTACTAGTCATACGGACAATTGGGGTATTCACTTAACGAGATTGTCGTAGAGAATTCGGTAATTGCAAAATTGAAGGATTTGTCGGAAATAAGTCTTCCAACAGGGCAACTCTGGGAACTATCTTTTAACTCCTCACAGTTTTTCAAAGTACAAAACTTTAGCATGAGAGAGTTGGCTATTCTGGTGTCAAGCCTGACAACTCTTTTGTAAATTTCGGAAAATAAATTGGAAAACCTGATGATGATCAGGTCTTGATGGCATTAATAATAACTTTTTTTTTTTTGCAAAATGTCTGTTCAATGAAACAACTCAGTCAGAATTATCCCGTGACGAAATGTTAAAACTACGCCCTCTCGATACAAATTTTACGTACCGAACGCGATTCAGCAACAATTTTTACTGCCCATTAAGTCACGGAAAAAGACTATTAAAATGCGCCGCTTCAAAAATCGTTGTCGTCTGTTTGTTGCAACAGAAGAAGTTTTTCCTTAAGAAAAATTTCTTATTAAAACGAGGATACAGTCTCCAGAGTCATAGGAAGAGAATTAAATGAGTGGTAACAAATATATCCTATTCGGGAATTTCCCCAAAAAGGACCTTCATTGTGTAGATAAGGATTTCACCGCAGTGAAGCGGCAACATAATAATATGTAAAGTAAGCATTTGTGCATTAGCCACACAAAATTCCAAAGCCACTCTGCTGTAGTGAGTTCCCCGTTTTTTCCTTATAATAAAACAGTCACTTGAAATAGGTAGGTCAAAAAAGCTTTTCACCACATTTGGTGAAAGAGGAAGCTTTTTCCGTCTTCCTTTTGTGCCTGAGTTGCCAAAGTCTTTTAAATGTGCCTGCAGATAGTTTTCAAAAGACTTAGCTGACTTAATCAAAATAGCCCCGTGGAAAGAACTTATTGTAATAATTATATATAATTATATAAGCTCTCTGATAACCACTAAAAAATCTCTGAGAATATTTTCAAAAATTTTCGAAATGTCGAGTTTTTCATTTTCTTGTACAGATGCAGGTTGTTTCCGGAAAAATGTGTAAAGAGCAAAAAAAAAAACGTTTTAAGAAAGATCTACAACACAAATTTTTACGGTAAACAATTTTGCTGAACTTTTCAACTCGTTAATTTTCGCCTTAAATAGACAATTTGATTCAAGATTTGCGCTCTAAAAACTAGTTCAGAAGGCAAATATGCTAGAAAAATATTCTTCGATAAACTTTACTAGTGAAATGATACCATCAATAGATATTTCATTATTCATTCATTAGGATCACACTTCCTGTTACATCAGGATAATCTGACATTTAATTGGGATTAGCTTTTTTTGACTTTTTCATAACGAACACTTTTTTAAAGTCTTTAGAAATTAGAAATTAAATGACTAACTTTATTTCTAAGGATATGAAAAGTAGTAATTCTAATAATACGCGTTCCTCTATTTACTTAAAAACAAAATATTTAATCCATTTTTATATCTACATCTACATATACAGTACAACCCATGACAGATTTTGTTTTACTTTTACAGAAAAATGTTCGCCTTGTGGTATTTGTCCTTCGCAATCGATGAAATACGGTAAGTAAAAACTGACCGTAATTATGCTTTAAGGGGTTACAAGGTTTTCAAAGCTTGAAGAACGATTTTTTATTGCCTTATTAATTTCTATTGTCAGAAAGACGTAGTTAAAAATATTTTTAGTTGGAAATTTCAGAATTTCTTTTTCAAATGTATATATTTGAAACAGTAATACAGATTGAATAAAATAGTTTACTTTTACATAAAAAATATACTATTTTTCCCCTGAATGAGCTCATGTAACCCCTCAAAAAATTATTGAAATAATTAAAAATTCATAGATTTTATATTCTATTATTTGAATTGTTCAATGTAATCATTGATTTTGACATCTTTCGTGCTTATTCAAACAAAAAATTATTGATAATTTTTTTACATATGTAATAATTAAAAATCTGTCAAACAAAATTCTCTACATTTTTTAAGAAAAAATGTAATTTTCACTTTTGTCTTGCACGTTTGAAAAATTTTTTATTTTTTGTTTCATAAAAAATATGCTGAAAAGCTTAACGCATTCCAATTTTGTGATGATATGCCATATTTTCCTTTTTTTATTATTTAAAATAATTTTTTTTTAATTCCTATCTTGAATCTTTCTTTCAGTTATAGATTTTTTAGTAAAGGAAAAATGAAAAACTCCATTTAAGTCCCTTAATGAATACATCTAATAAAAGAATTTAGTATCATGGCATTTTCGTATGAGTCCTTACATAGTGTACATAAATGTTCAAAAAGTCTTTGGCACAATTCCACTTCCAAAATTCAAACTAGCCAACCGGATGCAAGCAGAGAATCTATTAATAATAATTATTATTATAGATTCTCTGAGCAAGCACTGCTTTTTGTGCTTTAAAATATTAGTAGCACAATTTTAGGCGCTACTTTACATTTATCATCGCACGCACACATCAACGTTTCTCTGGTTTGGTGCACTGCATATGTGTGTAAGTAAAAGCTTCAGAGCTTTTAAGCAAAGGTGGTGCCATCTATATTTTTTCTGATAATTTATTTTCCCACGGTATATGTGGGAAGATTTTTAGCTATGTTTTTTTGATTTTGTAAATGGACTTTGTTGAAAGATTTTCAATATTGTTTTTGCATAGGAATGAAATATGTACATATGTATAGTTTTTTTCATATATATGGTTATCGATATCCTGGTTGCAAAAGTTCCGGGCTGTATTGTGACATCTGTCAAACCAAAAATGTTCTGTTTTAGTTAAAAAACAGGCATCTATGAAAATTTATCGCTAACAGCCACACAACGTGTTAAAAATTTTAGTATCTACTGCAAAAATGGTGATTCCAAGTGGGTCACATTTTGTGCTTTAAGAGGAGATTATGGAGCACATAATGGTCCAAACCCAATGTTTCTATTTCTCGACGTTCTCAAGAGCTGAGACTTTTTTACGGTATTCACAACGCCATTCATATGAATGTCCACCGAGCGGTAGACGGCGATTTTTGGAAGGAAATTTGTATCAGCGTTGAGGTACATTTTTCATCCATGGGATACGTAAATAGGCGAAATTCTTGCATTTTGGGCTCCAAGAACAATTAAACCGTTAAAAAGAGGTCATTAGACTAAAAAAAAATATTTCTGTGTTGAGCGCTCTTTGGTCCGAGGTGTGTTGGACTTACTTCTTTTGAAAATGGCAACGGCGAGACTGTCACTGTCAATTCGGATCCGTTGTGGTCGTATGATAACCGACTTTTCTTGCTCTGCTGTCCGTCGCGCAGCTCTCGTCTTTACGTTTTGTTTTTGGTCACCGAGATCGTGCGATTTGACACCTTGGACTTTTTTTTGGCCTCGCGAAAAACTGTGTTTATGCGGCTAAATCCTCTAACTCATAAGCACTAGAAAACGAGCATTCGTCAAGTTGTGGCTGATATATCGCCATTCCAAATAATAAAAGGCGATCCTCGTAAAAATTTGATTTATGTTTTCATGTCACAAAAAAGTTTCAAATTTGTTGACCAGTCTAACTTATAACGTACATATGTATATACGAGTATGTATGTACTCGAATAAAAAATTTCTCACAAAGTCAAATAGTTGAATGCAAATTTTTATTTGAAGTATTGGCCGAGATTGCGCGAATGACGATAATAGATTTCGCGATGCGTTTGTCTGTCTGATATGATGCTTAACGATAACTTAATCGAAATGGAAATAATACAATAAAAGTAATCAACACAAATTAAATAAACAACCACACCCGCTAAGCGGCAATAAAACAGCTTTTAACTATAGAACCATTAAATCATTATGCAACACAGTTCATTGAAATGAAAAAACAAAACGAGTGCATATGTACATATCTACATATAAACAATCTATGCATACGCTGACAAGTTCAAATATAAATAAATTGTTATATAAACATAAACGCAAACGTCAACATTTTTTTTATTTATATTATTATATATACATATACACACATATGGACACCCACATACAAAGTTGGAAAAGTGCAGAATCGTGATCATTTACTGCGTCAAGCCGTCATGCACTGGAATATTCCCCGTACATCACCCATGTCACGTAGGCGGTTCTTTGTTGGCTTTAATGGATTGCAGAAGAAATAGAGCAAAAAGGGAGAAAAAAGAATGGTAAAAAATCACTTTTCGCTGAACATACATACATACATACATACATAGGTATGTATCCAGAAGTAGGCTCTTGAAGCGAAATCGGTTTTTTTATTGCTCTATTCCTCTGTCACGGTCTTTATCTTCAATTCAATTAACACTTTTATTAATGGCAAACGATCGCTCAAAAAAAAATGAAATAAAATAATAATAATAATCACAATGACTCTAAACAATTTTTGTTGTTGTGCTAATTTGCCAAAATCAACAATCACACAATACGTGTAAATGTGGTTTTATTCGTATATGAGTATGTATGTATGTACATAACTGCATTTGTCTGACAAGTGTAACAACCCAGCAGAATAAAAAAGAATCGATTGAATTTCTTTCTAATATAAATATTTTCCAAATCGTGTTTAGGCTGATGTAGCCAAGTGAATAAGCTCATTGTAAAGAGGTTATGTATACGATATTTCTAACGGAGCTTCTACTTCCTCTGCTTCCATTTCAAAGCTGAAGAGCTCTCATCTCCTTCTCTTGAAAGCTCCCAATGCCGACTCATCAGAAGTTTTCATCGTTCTGGCCCCTAAAATTCAGATAGAGCAGGACGAGATTAATATGCGTTTTGTAGAGCTTGTTTGCAGAGAGAGAGCTTTAGTTTTCAACCTCCCACTGAATCCAAAGAAAGATGTATTGGTACGAGTGATCAGAGTAACGAATGTCAATAATAGTGTAAGAGTCAAGACGTGAATGCTGTGACTCTTTCTTTGATGACAGAAGATATTTCATTTTTGTCTCCAATGATACGGTTCATATAATTTTTTTCGGGATTAATGAAAGAATTACAGAGTGATAGTGTCTGCAGCATTGTTTGGTACTGAACAGTTCAGAAAAGCTCTTCCCGGTTTTGTCTGCGCATTACTATGAATGAAAAGGTGAGTTGAATTACCACATGGTGAATATCTGGTGAATGGTGAATATATCACCAATAATGTCACACAAATTATATCAATCAGTTTGTTTACGGCGGGCCTTAGGCTTTCACACAATACTCTAGGTAAGACTATATGTGCGATATTGGGAAAGCTTTTACCATGGAAAATGCCCCTTAGATTGGGTAGAGCTTATATAGTTTCCAATCACCAGAAATGTCTTCGACCGCCAATATTCTGCAAAGAAGCTGCTACATGCGCCTAGTTTAGTTTTCACCACCGTATTTGAATAGCTCTAACGGTAAGCCACGCAGCTCCCGCTGTTGATGTTTTCATCGGGCAGTGAAATGGTGGGTCTCTCTTCAAAGGCTTTTGTGATTTTTCATTCGGGTGGGTCTCTACGTACAATCATGGCGGGTACACCTTCTCACTGTAACTCCCCTCCAGATGGATGTTTGTTGTCCACCCGGTAGTCTGAGGCCACCAATTCACACTGCTTGCAGCATATGTAAAAGAATAAATTTTGGCCGCTCGCTGACAAATAATGGTTAAAAACTGTCTTGGACTTCTACACATACCCGTACATATGTAGCCCCATCCTGCAGACCAATCGAACTTTATCGAGTCCTTTTGTAGAAGTATCGACATAAAGACGGATATTTAGGCTTCTAACTCTAATTGAATTTTCTACTTTCTTCGATTGAATGACAAATCGTCACTTTCTGCGCTCTTATCAAACTCTCGAAAGTTCTTGGCTGCCGTTATGTATGCACACTTGTAAGTGTTTGCCGGGTGTATTTTATTGCTCATCAAACCGGCAAATAAACAGGCACATGGCGTATTCATATCAAAAGCGTTTATCTTTTTCATTTAAACATATGTATTTGTGTATGTATGTATGTATGGGTGTGAATGTGTGTGGACGCGATCTGAACGATTAACTGACATAGAGAGTGATTGCAATTTTTGTATGTGCATTTACACACACATATATATATATACATGTATGTTTGCGTTTGTATTGTTTGCTCATCAGAACAAGCGTTTGAATTTTTTCATTTGCATTTTCGTATGTATTTATATTGTACAATACTTACAGACATTCAAACGATCATATGTGCATATGTAAATATATATATATATATCACTATGTATGTAGGTATGCAATATTTATTGCAAAATTATAGACTCAAAAAATAGATCGACAACAAGTGGTTAATTGACCAGCAGTGAAAGATTTCTATGTGTACATAACTGTACGAGTATGTGTGTATTTAAATGAAAAGCACTTTGTTAATATCATGTGACGAAATGAGCGTTGCACGGACTCAACAACAGGTTGGAAACAGCACAATCTAAATAATCTTTTGCTTTTGTGAATAAAAATCGATTTATCTTTGATGGAAAACTGTTGTTGTTTTTTTATTGCCTTTTGTTTTCCTGCTTTTTTGTCTATCATAGCAAAATTTAGCGAAAAGCAACAGTAACTAGGTGCGGCTTGGTCGTGTTTTCTTTCACTCTGACATAATTACTTCGCAAAAAGAAAAAATCAATCATATTTTGTGAATCTAAAAGAGGCGGATTAATTATCGATTTTTTTACGCTTATAAGCGTTTAACTTTCAATTTTTTATATAAGCGTTGCCTGCAAACACAAGTCGGTTATGCAGATAGATAAATGTGTTTATTATTATTATTTTATTATTATTTCTAATTATGTTTTTTATGCCTTCATGTACATCAAACAGTCTAAACACTTTGGCTCGAAGTATGTACGTAAGTGCCAGAAGAAGAAGAGATAGACCTAACCAAATTTTTACCAATCAGATCGGACGTGCTGAGTTGATTTGGCCTTGGACGACTGTCCGTCTGTTTGTACGCAAACTTGCCCTTAAATTTTTGAGATATTTTAACCAAACGTGATACATAGACTAACTTGGTTCATTTAACGATTATTTGTCAAAATTCGTCCAGATCGGACCGCTGCAATATATATATATGACCAGACTTGAGATTTTGGCTTATAAATTTTTCAAAAAAGCATCAAAAAGCGGAAAGCTTTTGTAAACTACCTCATATGATAAAAGGCTTCAGTCGAAAATCCTTCAAAAAAGCATCTAAATATTGTCACCAAAAATCATCAAAATCGGTTGACTATAGCATATAGCTCCGTAAAACCAATTTGTTCAAATACAAGGTTTTTGGTCAAGTATCTAAAAGCGCGAGATTTGGTTTTCTACACAAGTTTTTAAATACCATTTTGAGAATATGACTGCAACATTGGTTGATTGATATTTTTACTTTTTAATTAAAGTAAATAGAAATAATCATTTAGTAATAATTGCACACTAAAAATTTAACTGTAATTATGTAAGAGCTTAATACAAATCATTAGCGCACAATAGAAACTACTTTTCACTATTCATGCAGCATTCAAGAGCAAATTTTAATTTGCTTACCAACACGAAAATTTATTTTAGCAATTAGTTTTATACTTTTACGATGTTTTATTATCGCTTTTATTATTATTTTATGTTACATTTTAAGTAATTTTCTTAATTTTCTATGTCATTCGCTTGAGTTAACTTTTTTATTTTTATTTTTCTTCTTTACATTAATTTCCTTTAGAAAACATTTTGGTTGGTTTTTCAATAACATTAAAATAAAAGGTGCTAAAAATGCTATAGAAAATAAGCCACAAGCAACGCCACAGCCGCCAACAGCAGCAGCACCAGCACCTGCACCGGCGCCAGTAGCGAAGAAAATTACAGAAAATAAGCCGACGCCGACGCCTACACCCAAACCAACACAGCCGGAAATAAGGCCAACCGCAGATGCACCCCCATCCGCACCCGCACCTGCACCTGCACCTTCACCTGCGCCCGCTCGAGTTTCTACACCACCAAAACCAATTGAAAAACCAGCACCCGCAACACCACCAACAACACCCGAAGCAAGCCCATCAATTAGATCACCAGCAGCTCCAAGCCCTGCTGCCCTCAAACGTGAAACAGTAGCAGCGGATGCTTTGGATAGAAAGCTGCAAGAGGCGAGTAAACCGTTTGAAAATGGTAAAGATAAGTTCAAGGCGAATTTGAAGGATGCCACAACTGGATTTTTACAAAGTGAATCTCAAAAGGCGCCCGAAAGGTACAGCTTAGTGTTTTAGGTTATAATTATTACCAAATTACTCTTCATTATTCTCATCTGATCCACCAATTTTAGGTTTGAATTGAGACGGCGTTTTGTTATTTGTTTATTGTGATTTTATGGACTTATTTTTACTAAAAACGTTTTTATTTTTTTTATTAAAATAAAAATAATTTTTTGGTTAAAATTTCTATAAAATATTACATAATTTTCCAAAACTTTCTTCTTAATATCGAATTTGTATAATTATACAATTGCTCTTTGTAACCACTGAAGCGATTTTCGACCGAGATCAGGACAGTTTCTAAATTTTCATTTCTCTTTTTTTTCACAAATTATGTTTTGCGAAAGCTTCTGTGGTTTGGCCTAGTAAAAAGTTCTCCATTATTTATGCATTAGGTGGCTGTTGCGATCAGTTTCTTGCGTTCTATAAGTCCGATTACACTAGAAAGATGTTAGTGGCACACTTAACTCAGTAGTGTTTGAACGCAGGTCAAAGATGGAGACCAGCAAAGAGAAAATACGCTGTATTCCGCAATTCTTCAAACGAAAACGCTAATCGAGCAGCTGAAAATGTAACTGTGAGTGACTAACATGCGATCACTGTTTCGATTGCCCACGAGCTAAACGTTACAAAAAACAGTTGGGAATCACTGAAAAAGGCTGGATATATGGGTGCCACAAGAGTTAAGCAGAAAAACCTCATGCACCGAAATTCCATCTGTAGAACCGCTGCTTAATCGTAACAAAATCGACCCATTGAAGGGCAGTAAGTCGGCACAGGTAGTCTCCTAGCCAGGATTGAGAGCCAGATAGGTTTTTTTAGTGTTTAGTGGGATTTATAACGAAGTCCCCACTATGAGCTGCTAACCTATGGCTCTAACTCTTACTTCGGACTCGTACTGTCGATAGTTGGACCGTCTGAAGGAAGCTATCGCCCTGTAGCATCCATCTTTGGGCAGCAGGAGAAGAATTGTATTTTATCGTTCATAAGCTCCGAGAGCTTGGTTAGGAGGTTCATATGCATCCACCTTATAGTTGCGGAAATCGCACCAAATCATTATCGTGAACAAAATTTTCAAAATGTATTGTTTAAATCATTAAAGTTGCTAATTTATAAACAAATTATTATACAATTTGGGCAAATTTTAATGCTTCAACACAGTACTTAAATTCAGATAGTAGAACATATACTCGTACATATATAATCTAAGAAATTATAAATAAATATCTCACCAATATCTCAAAGGTGAAAAATCTCACCATTAATTTTGCTGAATAATTTTACGCAATCGCCAATTGAAATCTATTACCTTATAATTTTAGAATAGGTAATTGAATTTGAATTAAGCATAAAATGCGGCGGTGTTAAAAAAAATTATATTTCGAAAATTATAATAACAACATATATTTTCGCCGTTTCCTGTGCGAAATTACGTAAAATTTTTATTTTTTTCTTCTGTGGATATGCCAAAAACTGGCCACTTGTTTGTTCAGCTATAATTTGGCATAAAGTCAAAAATGTGTGAGGCAAAAGGGGCGATCTGCATCTGCACCTACCATACATACACACATAGGGACATACGTATTCACAATCACACGTTTCTATACTTACGAGTACGTACACACGCCGCATATATCTACGTACATATGGACGCATATATACATATATTATATATAGGCGCTTAACGTCTTTCTGGCATATTATTTAATTTATTTCAAAAGCAGAGAATGATAGACGAAAATTCATTTTGAAAGTTAAATGACGTGGTAAGAAATGTAAGAAAATCTGGGAACTTTTACAAAATATTAGCAATATTCATCCCAAACATTTTACAGACGATCGGGCAGGCAGCCTACGTTGTATGGATGTACGTACATACAAATATTTCTATAAATTTACTAAAAGTGCATTTATTTATGTATATACACGTATGTATGTACACACACATGTTCAATGTATCTGTGTAACGTAACCTGTTCTGTCGCATAGGAAGGAATTCAAAGTGAATTTATTCAGAAACACTTGAATTTCTTAATACAATATTTCTAAATATTCTCGTACTAAATACATATTATGTATAAATGCTACCTCAAACGCTTATTTCTTCATTTAATTGGGCTGAAATAACTGATTCAAGCAACAAAAGAAAAGTGAACATAAAAAATGCCCTATAAAATTCAGCTAAAATTGCTTATTGCATTATTGTAGTTTAGCATTTTCAAAAATTTTTCTACAAATTTTAGTGTATATTAAATGCGATGAATACATATGTATGTGTACGTCCTTTCTACATTAGTTGGCTACTGAAGGTTTACGAAAGGAACCTTGAACAGCACTGTGAAGTGAGGCATGTAAATTAGATTGCCCAATCGCGTTTGAGTTATATTTGGTTATTATAAATTTTTTAGTCGAATTTCAAGAGCAGCATTATGAAAAAAAAAAACAATTTAACTTATGCTAGCTTACTGAAAGTCAGTGTTAGTATTTCTTTTGGCCTACGATAACTTAAGGTGTCCAAAAACGATCATGGATCGACGATATTCACCGAAACAAGTTCGTGCATTCTGTATCGTGGTATTGACTCGCATGCCTACTATCGCCAACTATTGAAAATGAGCGAAGAAATCAAGCAGAGATTAAACCTAACTTGACAAATACCAAAGACGCGTTGTTCCAATCTCTAATATAAACCATTGTGCACTGACTCACATCCACCTTATAGCTCTGACTTAATACAATTAGATCATCACTTGCCTCTTTTTCTACAAAATCAATTTACTGATGAAACTTTTCAATTTCCATGGTCTAAGTTTATTATCTTAAAAAATTATTAGCAACGATATTTTTTTTTTTAAATAAATATTATCGTGCAAGCAAAAAAATCTTTTGTTATAAAAATCTCGTAAATTCAAGATGAATGATATAAGACTTAAAGAATATATAAAACATTCCAAAAATCAAAGCAAAAAATAGGCAAAAATTTAATTGCTTTCTTGCCAAATACACACAAAATTAAATAAATCAAAAGACGTCTTAACTCCTCTGCTGACGACAAGATCATTTCAAGGTTTTTATTATATTGGATTAAAGTGTCAAAATTACTAGGGAGCAAATTATTCATACAAATTCTTTCTTCTACTTATATAAATCTAACTGAAAGTTTATTACAAGGACCTACTCAAAAGCTTTTTAACATCTCACATTTATTTTTATCGATTTTTAAAACTGTAGATCTCTTCTTTTTTTGGGCAAGAGGGATCTCATAAATTAGAACAGAAGTTCGGCCCCAATCGTTTAAGGGGTTAGGAGTAGTTAGTGGCATTAAAAATTGAGAATTTTCAGTAATTTCTCCCCTCAATATATATTTTATATTACAGCAATATGGCATCATTACACGAGTAGTGGGTTTCACTAATTTTGATTGTTACGATTTGTCGGATTTCTACCTTACGATTTCGTCCCTTGCTCTAACGATTATGCGATTAGCTAACTTATTTTGAGCGACAATCGACAACTGACATTTTCTTTTTATAATATTTAAATGGAGGAGCATAACAATACGTCAAAAAATCCGAAAAGCAGAAAGAGGAATGACTGAAACAAATAAGTTCAATAACTCAGTTGCAATGGGTTACAGTAACCTTTTCCCTGTAGAAGATCTTCAAATTAACGAATTGTACCGCAGCACTCCTGGGTATTTAGCATTTAACCCCAAAGTCTCAACGTAAGGGTCAAATATATATAATGAGCAATTAAAATGAACTGTATTATTACAATAACAACTGGAAAATATCCGTGGTGGATAACATAGACTTCTGAACGATTTCTGAGGCATATTATTCACATATGAGTGCAATCGTTACGCATAAGGTGTCGCCAAATAATGGTGATGATGATGAACCAAAAATTTATTTTGCAGCTTGCGGTTCTATTTAGATCATGGGAGTTCTAACCTATCCAAAAAATATCGAACGGTACAACAGTTTGCGGACTTGGAAAACATTTGAAAGTTACATTATTTCCCTGTTTCTCTGTAGATATGACAAAATAGCGTTTTAGTTGGCTATCAAGCTAAGAAACGATTTCTTCAAGCAAATCTTGGACAATCCATACACATTCCGAAACTCAGTTGCATTCAAGTGGAAAGCATCACCCACTTTCCAAGGCATACTTCTATCCAATTATGAAGAGTACTCAAAAGTCATTTTGGATTATAATTTTCTTAGCTAGTTTCCCGATCTACTTTACTTCCTTCAACCTTAATAAAGTATCAACCTTTAATCGATGGCGAAGTTTGTAGAGTAGTTGACGACAACAATCGTTAACATATAATGGTGTATTTCACCCCAGATGGAAGGATTGCCAATATGGATCTAAAGTTGCCAGAGTGCAGTGTCAAAAATTCAAAAATGACAGTAACTTCTTGCGGTGAATGCACAGTATAGCATAAAAATCATTTCACGATCGTTATTGGAGCTTTCAACCATTTGAAAAGGCATTGATATTGCTAAAAAGAGATTTTATTAAAATATAATATTTCATAAAAAAATAGGCTTTAAAATAGTTAAAAGCAACTCTATATTATCATACTATAATTATATATACTAAAAAAAATTATTTTATATAAGTTATCAATAATGATGATATTTTTCTATTTTACTACTACAAATCGTTTCAATTAAAAAATAATTATACTTTAACAACAGCATCCGAGTACTTCAACTAAGAAAAAACAACATTTAAAGTTAATTCAATATGAGTCAAAATGACATAATTCTCTGACAAAAAACCAATGTAAAATTCGAAAAAACATTGTCGAAAATAATTAAAAATCACCTATTTAATAATTTCAAAAGTAATGGCGTGTCTTTCTACTAATACATATTTATTTTCTATATACTTAGACTAAAAAAATAAATATTTATTATTTATTTTATATCCTTTTTTTTTGTTCTTTTAAAATTAATATGGTGAAACATTTCTTGGCTTTGTTCTC